AATGTGAGCTTGCTGCGAATGGGCAGGAAACCGTCAAGGGATTTGATTGTGCCCCCTATCCTTACAGACGGCCTTTCCTGTGAATGAGTGAAAAAAAAGTGCGCTGAGCAATCACAGACGCACTGTGTGGCTGCGTATTAAGACGGAAGCGGATGTTGTCCTTGTAAAACAAATAAAAGCACACACACACACACACAACCAGTCAGCCTTTCTCAGGGAACGCTTAAATTACACGCACACAGTGATCAAGATCAACAAAGCGCAGATCCCTAACAAACAGTAGCTAAACAGGCAAACCACCAAATGAACTTTGGGCATTTGCTTGGTTGTTATTCTCTTGGCATTGAGCAAGTGTCAAAATAACAATTACGCGCAACAGCTAAGAAATGTGTCAGAAGTTAAGCCTATTAAAAAATACGAAAAATTGGGGCCAACGCTGGAAATGGTTGTGCAAAAGACAAAACGAAAGACTCAAGCAACAAGCTTGAGCAGTTCTAGGCAAGTGGCTCGCGTGGGCAGCGGCTATAACTAGTACGCTGCACCACTTACGAGTGCAGTTTTTAATTAGTTGAACGTTCACGTTAACATCAACTCAATTGGCCCACAGGCAACTTAAATGAAGTTTGAGTATCCTACGGACTGTGGCCATAAATTTAAGGCCAAATTACTTTTAGTTGTAGCTGCCAATGCCGCAGGCTGCATTCATATGCAAATGGCCATACACAACAACCAAATGAAATGCATTTAAGCCAAAAATGCTGCAGCATTGGAGCCACAGTGAACGAAGTTAAAAAAAATACAACCAATTTAATTTAAATAAAATTCAGTTTTAGCCAAGGCCCAAACGCAGGTAAGCGGCCTAAGCTGGGTCTCTCTCCCTGGCCCTCGCTACTGTTGCCGTTGTTGTTATTGTAGAGGTTGCTTGAGCGGAAACGGGGCAGGTTCTAGAGTCCATAAAATGAGTGATTTGGGCGCGTTGACGCCGAAGACAAATCCCGGCTTAAAGTCATTTCAAAAATGGTTTGTTTACCTTTCGGGATTAACCAACTGCTGTTGTATTTACTTCGATTGTATATGTTGTATTGTGCTTATCTCATTTTGTGTATTTTAAATAATTCATTTTTGGATTTGAACATTTATTTGGTTCGAGATTATTGGATGGCATTATTTGGTTGCCAATTCAAACAGCGCTAACAATAACAACGGCCAACAAAAAACTCAACTTTCAATTGCTGTCACTTACTAGGCATTTATAATTGTTGAAGTGCCGCGGTTTCTTCATATGCAGCCCCCTACATACATACAAGTGTGTCTATGCATGTGTGTGTACAATTAAAAAGTAATTTGCCTAACAACAAACAGCTTGAAAATCAAAAACAGCTAGCAACAGCAACTTCAAATGAGAAACCAAGAAGACACCCACACATTTCCGTTTCTCAACCCACTCTCGAAATAATGTTTACCAATTTTGTTGTTGTGCTTTTGTTGTCGTTTTTGCTTAGCGCATTTTAATACCAGATGAAAAACAAGTTTGTAAACTAATTTGCAGCCGCTTGACAATATTACCTGTAATTTAAAACTAGAAACAAAAAAGCAGACGGAGCTACTAATACAAATACCAACACAAACAGAATGAGATACAGCTACACATACAGATATAGATCAATATATAGACTAAGCACAGTGGAACTATGGAGAAATTATGTGTAAAAGTCAGATATAGTTACAAGTTGAATTGACAAGTGATTTTCAAAACTAAATACACTTTAATAAATATGAATTAACACAACACAGAAAAATACAAAATATAAAATGAATTTAAGTGATATAAATTTAAAAATAATATTTAATTATTTTAAACTAAAACATTAAATAAAAAATTGAATAAATTATATAAATTAAATCAAATAATTACCAATATATGATAATTAAACATGGGAAAATATTAATTTAATCAGATAAGCAGATAAACAATATATATAATCCATAAATTGTTTGATTTTTAACAGATACAAATAAATATAATCCATGCTCAAAGGGATGAAATAGGTTTGTAATTTGTTTCATTATTCAGTCCACTGTCTTCGTGTTGACCGCAAGCCATATGACAAAATCACTCAGCCCAGGGATCGTGTAGAGTAGCTTACTGATTGAAAACCAACCCAAGTTCACATCCCACGCATCGCCCGCGACGACTGCGCCGCCAACGCACGTGCATAATGTTAAATCGGCTGTTAATTGCGACATTTCGAAAGTCAACACAAGATCGAAACATACTTTAAGTATACATATTCCCATCTACCCGGCCTAAAGCATGTTTTCCATTTGGGCTCTGTCAGCATGAATGAAATTTAAGCGCACGAAGATATCAAATAAAAATGCTGAAGAAAGCAACTTGATATGAGCATTTCGTATGCATTTTAATATCAATTTGCTCTAAACGGCATTCAATGATGTGGGCGTGTTTGTGCCTCATGTGTCCAGTTTAGCATTGAGAGAGCTGAGATAAAGTTACTTTGCGGAAATAGATTTGAAATGGGACAAATTAAAACTATTGTATGAGTCGTACGACTGTGCATGAAGCTGCTTCACAATTCGGCTAACATGTCATACCACACACACACATACATCTGTACAGATACACATATAGAGTCATAGCCCACACGTAGCGACATCAGTACCGAAAAACCCACACACAAAATGCCAGCCGCTTAACTTGTATGTCAAGAAATTGTAGATGCTGTTTGCTGTTGTTGTTCGCCTGTCTCTGTACGAGTATTGGTTGCTGCGGAGGAGTATGCTAAGTGAATGGCTCTAGCTTGTAGCATTCGGTGCTCCCTGCTGCCACTGCAAGAAATGCTTTTTCATTAGCAAAGTAAATGACAAACTAAATAATTTACGCTTGTGCTAAAATAAGTTGAGGCTTAGTTGTTCTTAATGTGCACATTTCGCAGCAATTTATTTATTTGATTGCCTACTAGCCGCAATGGCGACACACTTATCAATATCGCAAGTGGGCAGCATTATTTTTGCTGCTGCTGAGCTCCCATTGCCAAATTTGGCAACTTGTTGTGGAGCAGCACTGACAACAGCGACAATAACCACGACAAGTAGCACACACAGTTGTGGTGAAGACTTTCCTGCTGCTGCTGCTGTTGCTGCTGCAAATGACGGCTTATAAATGACGCCCACAGCTGGCCAAACAAAAGACTTAGGCAACGAACTTGCTGCCAGTTGTCAGAGCTCAGAGCTCAAAGCTCTCCACAAAAGAACAACAACTACGACTAGGCAAACCAAGCGGCTAATGAGCACATGTAAAGCAGTAAAAAATTATATAAACATTAATTATGTACATTTTTTCATTTTTTTCATCCTCCCTCTATCCCTCTCTCTATCTCTTTATTTGTTATCCAAAAAGGAAACGTTGTAGGCGTTGGGAATGAAATGAAAATAAAAACTTTGTTTATATGTCGGGGGGCATGCTGTGAAAATTATGAATGATGTATACGAAATTAGAAAACATAGCAGAGAGGTTTCGAAGCAAAGCAAGACCGAAGCGTTGAAAGAAAGAAAAGAAAAGAAAACAACGACAAAGCGCTAATTGCGCTTAAACTGAATAACTGCCGCACAGTCTATATGTATATGTGTGTGTGTGTGTGTGTGTATGAGTGTGTGTGTGTATGAATGAGCTGCGTAGGTTGAACAAACTTCTTGTCTGGGCCCGCTTGGAGCCGTCCAAGCTGTCAACAGCAACAATAACAACAACGGCAGCAGCAATCACATCACATTTAACTCTTTTTCGTCTAGGTTTTCATTTTCTTCAATATATATATATATACACGCACACACATGCATACACATACATAATTTTTGAAAAGTTTAACGCATTTTGGATTTTAAATGACAGCAGGGAGTCGCAATAATTGCCGCACAACGGAAGTGCGGCTGTCTAACGAAGTTAGCAACGTTTAATGAGCTCAACCAGCATCAAGAGACCCAACGACATTATGACGTAACGCACTTTTTGACTTTACATATACATAGATAAATATAGTTCGAGTGTGTGTGACAAGTATATAAACCAAAACATAATTATAATTTTAATTTTTTTTTCAATTTCATTTCATTAATGTAGTTTAATAACGTTTGGCTAAACGTCAAGTATATACTGACATGATCAAAGCAATATAAATAGAAACTTGGACTATAGAGAAGACTAAATTGGACACTCTGAGAATTAATTTGGACACAGTAGCATTTATTCAAATGAGACAACTTGCTAAAGACCAAGCTTAAATTATATAATAGAAATATATATATAATACACGACTATACTCTAAAGCTTTTCAATTAGTCTAGACAGTGCTCTTTGTAAAAATTCAAATAGCTAAATATCCAAAGAATCTATATGCGAGCCCCAAGCGAACAATAGTCTGAATCAAAATTCAACTAATTCACCAATTATGAAGGCCTCTTTCAGTGGATCGCTAGCCGCCTATTAGCTCATAATTCTAAGCCTTAAGGCTTAATCGAATAACGCATCATTAAGGAATAATTTGCAATTAAGAACATTTTTCACATACAGGTGTCGATTGTATATGACCAAAGATTAACCATCGTGGTAGTCAGTGTGGCTAACGATCAGTTTAAGTAAGCCATACAGATCAAGTTGATATATACAATCTGAGTCTACATGGCCACATTTGACATGTAGATCAGGTGGGCGTTGTCTGATACCCATTGTATAAATATTTTATGCATAAATAAGTAATATACCAAACAACAATGTTGTTGAATGTTGAATAAACATTTTCATTGAAACGTTTCAATTTTATTGGCAACATTTCTCAACTACTTAAATATAAATGTGGCAGTTTTAAGTACCACAACAAAAATAAAACACAAAATTCAACCGGTTCAAAAAACACATTAATAAAAATAAAATAAAAGTGTTTTGCCATAAAATTAGCTCAGTGGCGTTAAAAATAAGTGAGACTCACCTTAGTTTGGGCCACATTCTGTTGTTGTGCGGTTGGGCGCGTGTTGTTGAAATACTATTTATATTTGTTTGGATGACTGTCTCTTTATTTGCGCTCTGTTTCAAGTTCGAATTATCAGCGTGCGAAAATTAAACAGCAGAATATATACGACGACAACCCGAGCGATTTATCAGTTAGCTCGAGCGACGTTTATAGATTGTTGCAAAGACAATAAGCGGCATTAACTTGGCCGAATGTGTGTGTGTTTTTTCTTTTTTTTTTTTGTCTACCTGCGAGCTGAGAAACGGTTTCTGCTCCAGAACGTAAGTAAGCGCTTATTTAAAATGCGATAAAGATCTTTACGGTGCACTGCCACACGGCCGGGGTCTAGTTGGTAAGAACAACAATAGCAGTGCGCTCTCAGTTGACACCGCTGGTGACGGAGTTGCAGATGGACATGACGCACCAGCACACACAGCACATTTCATTCATAAGGAGAAAAAGCGTTGAATACAACACAAGTACAATGATCAAATACGAATATCAGCAACAGCAACAACAACACAATACAATGAGCCGGAAACGGATGCGACGTCGCTGTTGATGTTTGTTATGCCTTTGTGTGTCTATCTGCCTGCCTGCAGGATGCTTAAGGGATGGCTTCGTTCAGTTAACATATACACACACACAAACACACGCGCATACACTACTAACGTCAATTGCCGACGGCTCGTACAGAATTGTTAAAATTTACATTAACATTCGCATTTGCTTTCAAAATGCATTATACGTTTATTTATTTATTTATTTATTTATGATGGGCTCTTGCATTTGAAACGAATGACTGCAGCAACGAACTTTGCACACATTTATTTACATATAACACACAACTGTTGCAGGCGGCACACAGCAAACGAACAAACAAAGAGAGAGAGAGAACAGCACTGTGAGAGAGATCGCTGAGCTAAACAGCTGGCAGCAACTGAACGCGCCGACGACAAAAACTCGACTGAGACGAAAAACGCACACAGAAAACCTACGCTCAGGCAAAAAGAAACGAGCTCGCGCCCCGAGCCACAAATGATTCGTGCATTTTCATTCACAAATACTGGTCTCTGCTGCGCTGACTCAGGCGACTTTACAATGACCAACGGCTATGTGGGCAGCAACAGCAACAGCAACAGCAGCAGCAACAGCAGAGACAACAACAACAACAAACAGCAGCAGTCCAGCCGTCAGGCATTGAATTGTACATTTCAGCGCAGACAATTCCACAAGCGTTGCAAAGATTGCGATTGCATGCCAGCCATATTTGGCCAGCCAGCCAGCTAACCCAAATTCACTTTGAAAACTAAGGCCAAGATCGTCTGGCAAGAATCGCTCGCTGCTGTGTGCACAATAAATATAAAAAATAAATCACAGTCACAGGAGGAAAAAGTTCTCACACTCGACGACGGGTGTTGCATGTTGACCGGTGGCTATTTGATTTTCACATATGATCTGTGCCGCAAAACAATTTTCTTCTTGTTGTTTTTTCTCTTTCTTTTTTTCCGTTTATTCTATCAACTAACTAGACTGGGAGTAGCGCACATGCACAAATATAGAGAGATTGGAAAACGGGTTGCGACTGCAACGGCTGTTAGCGCAATGATTAGTACGCCGTGCGTATTGTATTCCATGGAAACGGACGCGTATTTAACTGCATTAAATTGCATTATTGTCCAGCGTCTCGCTCTTGATGGGCACTAACGAGGGCGGTATGTTCAGCGTCTTGCCCGGACAGGCAGCTTCATATTGATGCTTCAAGCTTTCCATCTCATAAATGCACGTGGACAGAGCTGTGCGCAATTCACACAGCAACACCATATCCGAACGCAGCTCATTAAACGATGTGCATATGTCCTCCGTGGGCGGTGGGCCGGGATCTGCAAGCAGTCAATTATTGTAATAGTGGCCAAATTTAATTTGGAACTTGAATTACTTACCAACTTTGAACTCCTGTATGGCCTGCTCGAGCGCTTTCACCTTGCGCTGTCCTATATTCGCCGGCAATTTCATCTTTTGCGAGCGCAACGATACACCAGAGCCGCGCAGATCGGCAAACTTGATGCCGCTGCTGCCAATTTCGATGGCATTCACCACAGAGTCCACCTTTGAGGGTCGTGGCTGATGATGCACCTTCTTCTTGTGCAGTTTCTTCTCGTATTTACGTGTGCTTGGTGTACTGGCGGCGTGTTCGTTCTGTTGATCCGCCTGCGAGATTAGTTTCTGTAGATCTTGTGTTTTGCGTTCACGCTCCTTTTTACGCGCCTCAATCTTCTTCATCTCATTGATCAGCATTTGCTCCTCCTCTACCTGTTGGATGGTGCGCTTAAAGAGCTTCTCTAGCTGCTCTTTGCGCCGGCGCTCGTGCTCGGCGTCGTAGACAAACGTTTTCTTCTCGCTGGACTGATTCTGATTTTGATTCTTTGACTTGGACAGCAGTGAAATCACTTCGTAATAACGCTCCTTAAGCTCCTCAACGGTTTTGATGCCATGCTGCTGGCGATTCCAGCGATCCGCCATCACAATGAAACGCAGGTCAAAGCTGTATGCGAATAATTAAGAAAGAGTTTCTTAGTTAAAAGTTCCCTACTACCAGCAATACATTTCCAAACTATTTCTATAGATGGCAAAAAAAATTAACATTTGCCAAAAATTAAGTGTATGCATCTCAAAAATCAACAACTTTTCGCAAATCTCAAGTTGCACATAGTAATATGTAAGTATTGTCCACTGCTTACCGCCTGGCCAGGTCAAAAAGATGATCCGTTTGCACCTTGCTCCAGTTCTGTATGTTGTTGCGCAGGTGTGCGTTATATTCGGTCATTGTGTAGCTTGGTATTTCCAGCTGCTTATTGAATTTGGCAAATGGATAGTCCGTGGAGTCGTCCGTGATGCGTTTCCAGTGATGAAAGACGGCGGCGTCGTTGCGTGCCGGATTAGAAAATGGTGCCCATTCCCATTTGCGCACCTTTTTCATGCCCAGCCGTGCTTTGTTCTGTTTGTAGCCCGCGCCAATGCCCAATGCGGTATCTGTGGGCAGCAGCGGGGGTGCATCTTTCTTGTCCGTGTAGAGCAGTGCAAAGACCTCGCGGTGCATACCCTCTGGACGCCGTGAGGCATGTTTGGTGCTGCAATCAAATTATGCTTCAAAGAGTAACCAAAAATTTGGAGGAGCACCGGCCATGCTTACCGTTCGAAATTCCGTTTCTTTGTGGCGAGAAAAGAGTCCCTTGTGATTTCGGGCGTATTGGCACGATCAATGTCCAAAATATCACGCACATCTGCCGACATATTGTTTAAATTGTTTAAATTTTACAATAAAACAAAATATTTCGTGAATCCGCTTTTTTGGTGTAGGGTTTTCTTGCAGTGTTGGATAACGTTTTCCAATGTCATATCGATAACTCTGTTAAGTCAGAGAGCTGACTCTGTTAATGAAAGGAAGCGGTTATGTTAAGTTAGCAGTGAGTAGTTCTCAAAACGTGCGCGCATTTCGCAATGTTGTTTTTCTGTCCGTCGTGCGGCAACATATTAATTATTGAAGAGGACACTTCCAGCCACAGGTTCACGTGCCACACGTGCCCATTCATATCGAAGATCAAGCGCAAGATAACAACGAAAACCTTTCCGCGACTCAAGGTATGTCCTGTTAAAACAGAAACTGATGCAATTCTTATGCATTTTTTTACTCATATTGTTATTCTCGACTCACACAACCATATGCAGGAGGTGGATCACGTTCTCGGCGGTATTGCTGCTTGGGAGAACGTGGACTCAACGGACGCCGAGTGTCCAGCGTGCTCACACAAGCGTGCCTACTTCATGCAGATCCAAACACGCTCAGCGGATGAGCCGATGACCACATTCTACAAGTGCTGCAATCACCAGTGCGGAAACACTTGGCGCGATTAGTCAAATGCGCCATTTAACAACACTGCTACTGAGACGCACTAAGTCCAGCTGCCGCAATATGAAAAACCAGAAGGAGCAGTCGCATTCCACGCCAGTCTATGCTGTGGATGCGCTGAACGCTCTGAAGCTGGCTGAGCAATGCCTGCAGCTGGGGAAGGTGATTGCCCTGCCCACAGATACGGTTTATGGCTTGGCCTGCGATGCCAACAATGAGGAGGCCATACAGCGTCTCTACGAGATCAAGGGACGCGACGCGCACAAGCCGGTCGCGATCTGTGTGAACACCATTGGTGCACTGCGTCGCTATGGTCAGGCCAGCCACTTGAGTGACGAGCTGCTAACTCGCTTGCTTCCGGGGCCACTGACCATTGTAATCGAGCGTACGCCGCAGCTAAGCAATCGCTTTCTAAATCCCAGCACCACCCGCATTGGCATTCGCATACCCGACTTCAAATTCATGCGCGATCTGTGCGGCACGTGGCATGAGCAGCCCCTGGCGCTGACCAGCGCCAATCGCTCGAGTGCGCCGAGCAGCCTGCACATCAGCGAATTCCAGGCGCTCTGGCCACAACTAGGCGCCGTCTTCGATGCCGGCCGCATTGGTTTAAGCGAGGAGCGGCGTCTTGCCTCCACGGTCATCGATCTGGTCACTCCCGGATGCTATGACATAGTGCGTTCCGGTGTCGCACTCAAACAGACGCTAGCGGTACTGCATGAATTCGGTTATGTTGCCAAATCCCAGTTGGGGCCCATTTAGTTTTACAGCATTAATAATTGGAACTTTTTCTAATTTACGAATAATTCGGATTGATATTTGTCTAAACAAAAATAAAAATGTATTGACTTTATTTTAAATTAAATAATTTCTTTTGATTGAAGTCATTGTTCTCAAACAATTTATATTCAAACGATTTAAGAAACAAAAGATGAAAATCTGAAATGAAAGAACCCGAAAATTATTCCGATTATCTAATTTACCTCCTTTACTATAATTTTACTATATTCTACATACGTATACATGACGCGGGTACTTTTGGCGCCATTACAAATGTTCTTAAAATTTATATTCAAGCAAATTCCAATTTCCACTTTATTTTATTTTTACGGTCAATTTTCAATTTTGAATATGACTTTTGCTTGATGGGAAAGTAGCGACGCACCCATGAACACAATATAGATAATTAAAAAATATATATATATATATACATATATATGTACAAACAGTGAGATGACTACTGCAATGGGGGAATCAAACAACCGCACTCGGGACTCAGTCTTTAGGCTAGTTGTAGTAACTGGTCTTTGCCACCTGGACGGGTCGACGTCGTCGTGGCAGCTCATTCTTAAGCAGTCTCCAACGCTCGGGTGGCCAAACTATAGCGACTGCTCGCGCAGACATCAGACCGAGGGCCACAGGGCCGAAAGTGTTGCTGTCCAAGGAGTGTCCCGTATGATCTCCCTCCACCCAACAGTGGCCATCGGGGACGCGGACAATCTCGTGCTTGTAACCGAGCGTGGAGACTACGTCGCCTTGCATGCCAACAACCCTCTTGATGATCTTCTGCGCTGGATCCTTGGGCGAAGTTAACGATATAATATCACCCCGTTCAACGGCGCTGCTGTGTAAGCCCCAACGCAACAGAAACACATAGTCGCGCTCATCTGCAATTGGATTCAAAGCGGGTTGCATCGAAGTACCTGCAGAGCGCAAACATACTTAATACAGTATACTACTCCGTATGGTTGTAGAAGTATAGCTACCGTCAACTCTGGCCACATAGCCGACACAGTCGAGAAACGTGATGCCCAGTGGCAAACCGTAGAGCAAGGATTTACCAAAGCGACGAAATGCCATGACGGCATGGCTTAGTGTCTATTTTCTGGCAATGCTTGAGTTCCTTTCCCTTATCGAATTAGTTACAAATAATTCACCACAGCTAGCACATTTAGTTGCATACATACATATGAAATAGGTTTTGGTTGAGCTTTTGGAATTAATACATAACAAATAACTCACAAGTACTTAGACAGCTGTTCTCGAACCATTTTGACATTCACACGAATGCGTTGCCGTTCACACGTAACAATAAAACAAAAACAGGGTGTCTTCGTATACAATTGTTTATTAAAAGGTAAAATTGAGTAGTTATTACAAATCAAATTCCAGCTATTGTACTATGGTTACAGGTGTTTTTGATTTCATTTTCAACTGGAACTGGAATGTGATCGTGTCCATGGTGCTCTCAGCAGCCCTCCAGTTCGCTCGGAATGGGTATATCGTTTTGGATGGCAAACTGCAGCAGTGCCTTGTATTTGTTCTTCCAGTTGCCCACATCCAGGCGGATTTGCTCGTTATCCTCGTGCATCTGCTCCAGCTCAGTCCATTCATATGATTTTTTCGTCTCCAGTTCGTCTTTCTGTTCAATGCGCTTGATTCGACAACTGGCTGCATAGCCACGATTTTTGAGCGTTCGACGCCTCTGCTTCATTCGCACAATCTCGTCCCGGTTTAGTCCACGCATCTTCAGCGTTCGATTGAGATCCCGCACGGAAATCGTTACGAGCTCATCGTCCGTAATATCTGGAATCGGACATGGCGAAAGTGGAGCCTAACAAAAAAAAACAATAGAAGTATTGCGAATAACTCGTATGTGTAGAATTTGAAGTTCTACCTACCAGAGAAGACTTTCTCTCACGCTTGGAGTCCATAGCTTATTACATAAAGGCTTTGAACTGTTCACAAAATAGTTTTATAATAACAAATTCGCAATTTGTGTATGTTTTTGCGTATTACCATTCGCAGTGAAAACAAGTACTACAAAACAGTGTGACCAACATTGGCAAACAATAAATTACACAAAATACTGCAAATAAATACTAAAGTATGGCATCTCCTTAAAGATTTAAAAATACCGCGTTCGGTCACGCTGATAACAAGTGCTGTAAAGGATAAGCGCAAGAGAAGAAGAATTCAACGGCAGCGGATGCCAGATCAGAATCCATTTTCTTTTGCTGCTGCTGCCGACTAAGTTGAACCGCGCTATGAATACGCCAGTAATTTACAACAATGTCCCCACACCGGGCTGCATTCAAACGCCGCTTTCAGTCGCAACACCCGACGGCGGCCTGCTCTACACCGGCTTCAAATGCATCAATTATATATCGGCACCGCCCGCCAACGAACAGGAAGCGGCAGAAGTAAAAACCATGTCGACTCGCATAACAATAAGTGCACTCGATGTTAGCCCACTATGGGCCAAAACCGATGCATTATCAAATCGGCACTTTGCCATCGTCGCCGAGGATCTAAGCGTTCAGGTTTGGGACTGTGCCCTGGGCGAGGCGATCATCGGCCATAAGGCGCATCAGCATCAGCACGAGGCGCGCGATGTGCGCATGTATCCACTGATAAATGTGCTCATGGGCTACGTAGCCAATGGCAATATACTGTCGATAGATGCCAGCGATTTGGTCATCTACTGCGTCGCCTCCAACAGCTACTGTCGGCGCCCCACATTTCTATCGCCACGAAACCATCAGCTCAGCGTACTCCGGTGCTCGCCCTTCGATGAGCATCTGTTCGCGCTGGGGACAATGGCGGGCGCCGTTCTGATTTGTGATCTGCGCAAGATGTGCATCGTGCACAAGTTGAATGCACATGGCCAGAATGTGCGCATTTCCGGCCTGGCCTGGCGCGAGATGTCCTTTAGCAGCGAGGATGCAGCCATGGATAAAACAGCCAAGCCTGTAACTGAACAGTGGCGCCGTAGTCCAGCTGATGCACCCGCATCCTCTAAAGCTCCATTAAACGCCCAAGTTGCTGAGTCGGATGATCCCTTTGATATCTATAACTTTGATCATCTGGAGTCGGAGTTCGGTGCGCCTGCGAACGTACGTCCGCCTCTGATCAGCAAATCCTCCGATGACTGCGGTGATTTTGTTGGCCTGGAGAGACCCACGGACAATATGGCCATTGACTACGTGGAGGCCTGTGAGCGCATGAAGGCTGAACTAATGGCTCCGCCCGACATTCCGCAAGTAGAGGTCACTCTGCAGGACTGTCAGAAAACGGGCACACATCCTCCACGCAGCGACAGCAGCAACAAGTCGGAGAAAGGCAGTGGCACCCTGGTGAGCGGCTCTAGTGAGGGCAGTCTGGAGGTCATACAGTTCAGCTACTCCAGTGATGATGCCGTCCTTGTGGATGGCGAGCCGCCAAAGCCCAAACGGGAGGTTCTCCATCACATCTATCACCAGGCCGAGGTGCATGATGCACCCGAATCGCCAAAGCTACAAACTCAGAATAGGCCCAATCCTAAGCCGGGCTCCAAGCTGACCAAGGAAGCCAGCATGGATGCGCTCAGTTTGATTTCCACTGAGACGCGCGCAAGACCTGACATTCTATTGGTGTCCATCAATGACAACGATGTCATCACGGTCTGGAATACGCTAACGGGCGAACACTGCGCCAAGAACTATAGCAAAATCAATGTAACAGGCAAGTGAAATACCAGGCTGAGTAATTAAAAAAATCTTAAGGGCATTCTCAATTTCAGGTAAATCCAGAGAAGTGCATTGGCTAAATGATCAGACCATTGTGTCCCAGAATCGCCAACAGTTGTTCTTCTGGTCGTTTGAATACGATTCGAAATCGCATCGGTATAAAATTCAAAAGGATCAGCTGCACAGGAGTGCGAGTCAGGAGATTGCCACATGCGCCGTCAAATGCGCTGATCTCCCACAAATATGGCTGACCATGCGGAATCGACAGGTGGGAATTCTGAATCCGCTAAGCGGCCAGCTAAGCGCCACCTATGGCTGTCTGGCATTTGGTGTGCGGGCAATTGCCGAATGCCCGGATGATATGAACAAGTGAGTAAATAATATGTTAACACATATTATTGATAGACTGACCGCGCTAAAAACATTCTAATTGACTTGAAGTCGTTTCAAAAGTTTTTACAGAATGTTGCTTATTTTATATATATAATAATATAATTAATTAATCCATTCCCGCAGAATCGCATTGGGTTGCTCGGACAAACGCTTGGCGCTGTTCGACATATCCAAGCTGTCGTCACGCTGCATACCCATTGACAGCATCCACGTGAATAGCGTCGTTTACTCGCTGGCCTGGAGTCCCGACTGCCTGCAGCTCGCCTATGGCACCTACGACGGCATTGTAGGTTTTAACTGAGATTTTATTACGAGAATCGAATCGAATGAATTACAAACATATTTATTTGTGCAGGTGGGCGTTCTGGATGTGGAACGCATGCGGGTGAAGACTACGTTTCGTCCGGTGCAGAAAAAGGAGATCTACTCGCTGATGTGGCAGGCGAACTACATCTTCTGCATTGTGAATCGCGTGCTGGCCATCTACGACCTGACGCAGCCCCAGAAAGGCAAGTTGCACCAACACTCACAGGTGTTGTCTTGTGTTATAGGTCTGATTCTGGGCATTCCGCTGGCCATAGGTAACCTTGGTCTGGGCATCGTGCGTTTGACGCTTGCGTATCTCGGCCAGGTGTATGGTCTCCCGATGATAGTCCCAAGCATTCCACGTCACGTTAATCCAATTGGACGGTGAGAGATCGTTGGTAACCACCATCTCGGTCTGTCCATTGAAAGTCGTTTGTCTTTGGCGGCTCCACGGGCACCGGCTGTAATTCCTTTTCAATCAGTGCATCATCCAGTTTGAAAAGTAAGGCCAGATTGGCACTGTTGAAGATGGCCTGCCTCAGGGCCGTTATGAACCGCTCGAACCACAACTCGCCAATGCGCGCATATGTCTCGTCCTGAAATCCAAATTTAATGTCCACATTCATGCACAGTTTACGCTGCACTTTTGCCGGCAGCAGCAGTCCGTTTGTCACGGCCAGCGTCAGGCCGCAAAATTCTTTGATGTCCGCTTTGGCCAGACTGCAGAAATTGCCATCGGTTTGGTATTTCTTGAGGGCATCCATGCGCTCAAAGAAGCTGCACTCGAACCAATCCTTTCGTCGCTTAGCCAAATCTTGTATCTGCGTTATGGTATCCTTGGCACGATGCGCCATCTCCTTTGTGACCTGCTGTTCCAACTGCTCGCGCAGCTTATTCAACTCAACAATGTGATTGAAGTAGTGATTCAGATTGCTCCACACCTTGGAAAGGTATACAAAGTGCGGCTGCGGGAAGAGAACACAAATATTACAATCTTTCAGTTTTGCCCAATTCTCGAGTGCTTACAAAGATCAATTCCGACTGGATGGAGGTGCGCATGCTCAGCGTATCGTTGATCTTGGCCACGACGCACTCATAGCGACCCGTCTCCACGCTAACCAGATATGCCGTGTGCTCATAGCTGCGCTTCAGCGCGGTCAGGCAGCGCTGCAGCATGTAGAATGTGACAGTAAACTGATTGATGCGGTGCAGCTGCTCCAGCGGCACGCGATACAGAAGCTGTGTCTCCTTGCAATTGAATTGCAATTGATCGCTAACTGCCGTTTGGCATCTGTCACACAAGTTCTTCAGTCGCTCCAATGCCGCATTAAAGCCGGCGTTTGTGTTGCTCTGCGCCATTTCCAGATCACCAATCACTACGGGCAGTTGTTGGATATAGGTAGGGTATATATAATACAAGGTCAGCAGTAATTGCCAGCTTACCATAGCGCACATTTTCGCGATCGCCATCGGGTCCGTCGTTGTTGTAGATGACAATGCCCGCCACAGTGTCAGCCAGTCGCTGCAGGTACTCCTGTCGATGATATTTCTTCTTGAGCACATAGTTCTGCAGATCACTGCGCCCGATGACGCTATTCAGCGCCATGGCGGTCAGCTTGAGCAGCACATGATTCCGGGGACAGCCTAAATGATTGGTGGCCACAATGAAGACCTGCATTTTGGCAAACAGCTGATCTAGTTGCAGCTTACTGCAACTCTCCGGATACTGCAGAATGTCAGCGATGAGCAGCTTGAGCTGTTGCTGGAACTGCTGCTCGTACTGTTCGCGCACATAACTCAGCTGTATGCCGTGGCCCATCTTTACGATCCAGGACATGCGCATATTGGCCATCGTTGTGTCAGTTTTATCCAGGTACCCGCTCACAATGTCGTCGATGAATGCTGCAATGTTGCACGCACTCGGCTTATTCAGATCTGTCTGAAGCAATCCCCGTCGCATGTCTCGCACCATCAGATGCACCACAAACTTCATAAACTTCACATCCTCGTCAATGTCGCGTTCTTTCAGCTGCGCCAGAATACGCTGGGTAATCTCGTCGAGAAACTTGTGTTGCGGATGCGACATGTTCTTCTCTCAATATTTGAGTATCCGTTTAACGTTTAATTTGTATGCCACTCACAGTAAAACATAAATCGAACGGAATTTGAACTGTTTAGTGTGTGTGTCGCACAGAGATTGTTTGTTATTTTAAATGACAAGTTGCCACTGGTAACTGGTATGTCAGGTAATGCTTAAGGAGAATATGCTCTAATAGAAGATACCCTATAGGCAAACACGCTGTTAAAAATTATATCTTGCGTAAATTGAAAATTATATATTTGGATTCTTGGTCAGAATCAAATGACTATCGAAATCGCCTGTCTGTTGTTGCCAGCTTGCAATCCATATCTATGTTGAAATCGCCAGTCTCAAACCATAATTGCATTTGCCTTATTCATCCATTTAATCTCTCTCGCTTGCTCTTCCGCTTGACAGATGCCCAACTGCTGCGGTACATCGAACGTCCCAGTTATCTGTATGTGCGTGGAACCTTTCTCTTCGTCGGCACGGAGGATGGCTTCCTGCAGCTGTACGAGCGCACCGATAGCAAGGCGTTGGGTTTTACAAGCTTAAAGCAGACGGCGCTGATTTCGCGTTATATCACAGACATTGCATTCAATCCTCTGGAGACCAATCAGTTTGCCGTTGTGGGCCATGAGAAGCTGCTGCACGTAATGGAGTTTCAGGCGCAGCAACGTGGCTGGATCAAGCTGCATACGTTCACGGCCAGCGATCCGAAGGCATCGATAACTTCGGTGAAGTGGAGCAATATACAGTCGCATCTCCTGCTCAGCTTTCACATCGAGGGCAAGGTGTGCCTGTGGAGCACCAAACAGCCGGAGCAACCGCCATTGACCATCACCTATCACTGTCCCATGTGGTGTGGCCTGTTTCTGCCCTCCGATGAGAGCATTGTTATGTGCAGCGGCAAAACACTGTCCCTCGAACTGATTAGCATCAAGGACGCGTTGGCGCATAATGAACAGAATATATGCTCCAAAATGGATGCGCTGCTTAAGGTCAAATGGGCCAGCAAGTCTCTCACGCAGCCCCATATGCCAGTGCTAAACGCGGCACAAAAGAAGCGACAGCGTCGTGACAAACGCAAGGCAAACCAAGCAGTTGCTGCTACTGCGGCTGCTACTGCGGTTGCTGCTGCGGCTGCCGCTGTTGCCATGGAACAGCCAGCATGTATCAGTGAGCATACAGCTGAGCCGAGCGAGCAACAGCCACCCATTGAGTCCATGCTAGGCGCGCTCAGCCTGGAGACAAAGAGCACCAATATCAACTCAGCAGTGGAGTGCAGCAAGTGCAAGGAACTGAAGTCGCAGCCAAAGCTCGACAACTTTTTGGCTGTAAGCGGGAAACTGTTTAGCTCTGCGTGCTCTAGATGCTTATAATATTAAACTCTTGCTTACAGCATAGCCGCACTTGTTTGTGCCTAACACAAAAGGAGCTTAACAAAAGCGCGCTGCAGAAGTTGGCCATTGTGCTCACCGAGGACGCGGCTAAAATAGATAAGGCCGTGCTTATGTCCAAACTATTTAGCACCAAGGTTATGGCCAAGGACTTGATTGCCACCGAGCGTAGGTTTTATGCTTTAACAATTCGATAAACAGTTTTTAATCAACAGCCTTATATTTTTAGTTACCAATCTCAAGCATTCCAATAACAAGGACATTGCGCCACTCTGCCTGGCTGTATCCACTTTTAAGGTGCGCGACGAACTGCAGCAGCACATTGACAACAAAACGCTTAACGAGTGGCATGTATCTGTGGCGCCCTCAGTGTCCTTTGTGTGAGTATAGATTAATCGCTGTCCAAGACTATCAGCTAACTATACTCCTACTGTGCAGTTTCTGGCAGAAGTGCTGCAAGGCGTACGCCCAACAAATGGAAGAGCAAGGATATATTTTGCATGCAGCAACCTATTTGACGGCCATTGATATGCAGACCGAGGCCATCGATTTGTTGTTGAAGCATGAGTATTTCAGGGAGGCATTGGCAAATGCACGTATTCATTTGCCCGCCACGGATCCGGTGATTAAAACCATTATCAACAAATGGCTGGAACAGCTCGAAAAAACGGGCAACTTTGCTGCGGCAGCCCTAATGTAATTTTGCTTACAATTAATGAGAAACCAAGTTTAATGCGAATTTTTTAATGCCTTGCAGTTGTGTGCTCGACAATGAGATGTTGCGTGGTTATACGTATCTGCGCAAATTCCGCAACTGTACTCCGGAAATTGCAGATCTCATGGAGCAGATCAAGCGCATAGGACAGCTGGGACCACTGTTTGATGACGGATGCCAGGAGACAGCCGAAGCAGCGGAGAATGGCGGCGAAAAGAACGCTGAAACGGCGGCCTAAAATACTCACAACTGCCAAAATACAGATGTCTGTTTAAACATAGATTAAGTTAGATGAAATCAACAAAAAAATACACATGAATCAAATGAGCTTCTCGATCGAATGTAGAAAACCCCAAACGGGCAGCTTCCTAACATTAAAAACGAGTTTTATTTTAAGTTCAACACTTGATTTACACCAAAAAAACATTAAGAAAATTATCACATTAAAAATATGTCATTAAAAAAAAACATAGAAGAACAAGAACAAAACATACAAGAGCACAATAGCTTAAGTTACTATTAAATTGAATAATGCTGAAGATAACTTTTCATCAATTATGATATTCAATCGCTTGTAAACCGTTTGACTTTCGGAAAGAAAACGTTACATGAATTTATACAATGTCCAAGGCACATTTAGCTAGTAGAAATCAAACACAAAGAAGAATACACATTCATATACATTAAATGAAAAAAATACAACCTTTTTAAGATTTTTTTGTTTTTTAATTAGAACAACTTCAACCTTAACCAAAAGTTTACAGACACCGCGGCCCATTTGTTGCTTTAAACAAATACGGTCCCGTTAGCCAGAGGCCAAAGACAGAGAGACGCCGCACAGCACAAAAACAGCTTAACGAGTATTGTTTTGGTTTTGTCAGACAATCAAATTATGCAAATGCAGCGCGGCCGGCCTATCCGACAGTCAACGTCAGTCAGAAATTAAGTTTATTTAATTGCTTGAACTAAGGTTCGAAGCGACAGCGGCAGCAGCAATGCCGGCTGAGGCAGCAACGCGCAGTCGCAGCAGGGCCAATGCGAGTGAACTTGCTGCGCAACGAGACGCAGACAAATTACAACAAAGAGTTGTTTTGGTCGAGAAAGCTAGGCAAGGAGATACCCTGTACCCATGTAACTGTACCCTTACTAGTCGTAGATATCATAATCGATAATCGTAATCTTCGTCTAAGACAACTTTTGTGTTACTTAAAGAAACCTTGATGCATTTTCTACTGCAGATCAGCAACGTATATTTCTAACGAATCGAATAACAATATTTTGCAAATTATGGTTTTACTGTAATCAGAAACAGATTTTCAATGGATTATAGAAAGCTCAAAATTTATAATATTATAACATCCTCGACAAACGTATAACAACTGAGCATGCATTAGTCCAGAGTGCTCGACTAAACAATACCCTTCCACACCATAAATTCATTTCATATGAGAATTGATAATTAACAGCTTTCCCACTTAGTTTATGATTAGTGCACAGAGCACAAAATTAATTTTCGCTGCTTTTTTTTAAATTATTGGCAAGTGTCAACACATCTTATTTTTATTTGTATTCCGTTGCAGTTAACATTTATTCTTTATTACACCCACTCGCTAATCCAGTTTTAATGAGTATAAATATTTATTTCAATAAGCAACGACGGACGTCGACGTCTCGACGTCGTCGCTGCGCCGCAACGCAGCTGAGAGTCGGCCACAATCAGAGCCAGAGGCAGAGCCAAACGGGCAATGCCGAGGCACTTTTCAGTTGTTGGGCAGCCGCTGAGCTCAGCTGACGCGTTAAGAGCTACAAAAGTGTTTTCGGAGTCGCGTTCGTTGCCAGAGTCATTTGATTTTCACTTTTAACTGTTTGGAAGCGCGCGCGCGTTTGTTTAACCGTTACCATTAGCCGTGCACGTTACGGTTTCCCTGCGAGAGTGTGCGTGTGTAAGTGTGTGTGTGTGTGCGTATTTATACAATACCTATCTGTATTATCAACGCTACGCATGTTAAAGCTGTTCTCACGTCTCTCATCCACTCGCAGACTTGACCCAGAGCTGTGCGTTCAGACCGTTGTACAATTAAGCCGCAATTCAATTATAATTATGCTGAAGTGCGTTTCGCTTTTGCTCAAGTGAATAGAATGGAATGGAGTAGAAAGAGGAAGAAATACTTATTTAACTCAAAGCAAAAGTGCTAGAGCAAGTGCGCGGCTTTTTGCTCTGTGTTTGTTCTTGTTTTTGGTTGCAGCTGCAACTGCTACGTTTTTCCGCTGCCAATTTCCTGGCACACATATGTCACATATTGATGTTGGATTTTTTGCCAGCACGCATTTGCATATGACAGCAGCAGCGGCAACAACAACAGCAACACCAATAGCAAAAACAAACAGTGGAGACAACGACGACGACGACGACGACAACTTCTCCCCACTGCATGACTCAACGCTGAACAATTTTTTGTGTGTTGCTGATGTTTTTTTTTATTATTGCTGTTTTTGTTTGTTGTTGTTGTTGCTGCTGCTGTTGCTTTTTGCGTAGTTGTACCCGCAGCGTTGCTGATGGGAGTGGATCTGAGGCTGAGGCCTGTGGCGCATGTGAAATCATTTCTTGCTTGAGCGATAATTTCTACAATTCGTGTTTCTGTTTCTCCCTCATATTTGTATTTCTTTAGCGGCTGTAACTTACGACGGATTAATGCTAACATCGCGCTGCAATAAAGTGAAAGGTAAGCCCATCAAAAAACGAACTGCATGCATACAACATCAAATCGAAATCAACAATACTAATCACACATACATAGACACACACACACACACACAAACACAAATATTTATTGCATTTTGAAACGCATTTAACGGCAACGCACTCACAATTGAATTCCTTTTCCTTTCTATGCTTTCGACATGTAAGTCATTAAGATTTGCATAATAGTTAAACATCTGCTCGCATTGCATTGTTGTTTATTCATGCATATGCACCTATCATGCCATTTGTATCATTATTAATGCTACATTTATTTGTTATTGTTGATGCTATTGAACTCTCCGACTCGTCGACAGTCACAAACAACTGCAACTATTAACAATTATATATACACATGCATGTGTGTATAACAATCTCCACGCCCGTCATACATAATAATAATAAAATTAATATATAATTCCATAAACACATGCACAGTGCGACAGAGACAGAGTTGGCGAATAAAATACAATGCAAATTGTTGTTGTTTCGAAATATGTTGAGCGCAGCTTTTCACAGCAAATTAAGCGGAATCTACATAATTTTGTAATCCCCATCCAACGTCGACTAGTGTTACAGATACTCCGTAAACATAATACACAAAAAAGTTAAACTGCTGAAAGCAGCAGCAAAGGCGCGGCAGTCAAGGGCGCGATTTTGAATTTTATTATAGCTTACATACTCAGTCTTGCAAAGGGGTCATTATGACTGGATTGCAATGTTGGGCAGGTTTTTGAAAAGCTTTCTAATCCAAAAACAATTGAACAGAATGTGCCAACAAATACATACATTTATATAATATATAATATAATATATATTGAACTATTGCACATACCGACCCGGATATTTACTTAGTATAGTTGTCATATAAGTCAAATGATCGATCAATTAAAGCGTCATAAGTGATGTGCATTATACCATTATTACGTGAATTCAATAAATGAATATATGTACATAAGCTATTTATAATTCCAGCACAAATGCCGTGACTATTAGTTGACGCATCAGTAAGAATGCAGCTTGAATTCACATTTAGCTTACGGATGCTTTCATCTAACGAATAAAAAATAAACACAATTTACCAAAAGCCATCCAGCATGAAATCTCTGTTAAATATTATAAAAAATACTATCACTAACTCTACTTGATATTTTTAGGAAAACCATTTCATTTTATAACTTTTGCATATTAATAAAATATTAAATTTTTATTGTCAATGGGTATGCCTAAAATCTATAGCTAAGACCTGTTAATTTAAATATAGCGTTGGCTTAAATATTCTAGCCAGTCAGTCTTGTCACTTACAAATAGAATCTCAACGAAACTCATCAATCAACAAACAATAAGGAATTGATTATTGAAATCAAAGTTCAGTATTTAAAAAAAAATGTTAAAAAAAATATTCAGATATTTGTTTTATTATTTATTATTATTATTTGTTTATTTATATTTATGTAAATGGATAATTGAATTAAAAGTTCAGTATTTAATAAATATTTTCGGCTGAAAAACATAACATTTTAAAAATAGTAGATATTTATTAAAAATATCTTTTGCTTCCAACTTTACAAAATTAATGACTTACCATCCAACAAATTGTATTAAATTAATAGTTACGGTATTTAAAGTGCAGCGAGATAATGGCATCCATTTAATGTTTGTTGAATATCTCGATGTTGTTCACTTAACACATTTTCAAGTAATACGCAAAGCTCTCAACGATAACAACTTGTGACTGTAGCTGTTGCTAAGAATAGACATATTGCGAGTAACTCGCCGTTTAAACCAGTTTCAATGGCTGCCAAAATCTGTCAGAACCGGACAACTGGTGAATTGCTCACAATATTTGCATAGCCAGACAGAATTAACGAAAGGGGGAGGCACTCAAGTGAGAAACGATTGCAATTCTTTGCCAGCCAAAGAAAGCGGTGGCACAGGAAAATTGAAAAAGCGGCATACAACGCCAGCGGAATCTCAATGGGGCATAGGGGCGGTGACCTGGCCACATTTAGGCGTGCGCATATCCGGCCAATAACATTATGGCTTTTGGCTTACGACTTATGGCAATGGCAAAACGCACCCAGCTGGAGTCGCCCACGCGGGGAGCACGCACCTTCAAGCTCAGGTTGATGATAATGACGAAGATCGCTTATGGCGCACCTGTCGACGGCATTGAGTGAGGCTCCAGTTCTGAAGAGAGGCAGTCGCTTGACTATTATACAAAGATTACCAAATGACTGACTAAGCCGCTAACTGACGTTGGCGTTCGCTTATATGATTGACTGCTTAAGTCTATCTGTGAGTGTGTGTGTGGACGTGTGCGTCTGTCTGTCTGTCTGAACGTTTAGCGCTTGACTATAATTGATGAAATTATTTACCTTCTGCACACGACTTCGTGATATAAGTAGCAAATTGTTTACTTGCGAGCAGTAGCTGGTTAGTTGGCTGCAAGCGGAGGCAGAACAAAAGACTTAGGCAACGAACTTGCTAACTGGCGCTGAGATAAATTATAAATTAAACAATTTCGCATTGTTAAGGTATTAGAAGAGGTATTAAATATTTATAATGTCATTTGAGTTTTTGGAAATATGTCAATTAATTGTATTTCGAAATTAAGAAGAGATTTTTCGACAGTCTAATGAGTTCAATCTATCATCTAATGCAATTATAAATAGTAAAATATAATATATCAAATATAAAATTATTTATGTGCTATATAAAAATGTATTATAAATTGCATAGAAACGTATGTCTTTCTGAAATAAAATTTAATACGATTTTTAAGGCTAATGTTAATTCTAAATGTTGTTGGTATTGGATACATTTTTTAATATAATAATAAATGCATAAAATATTATATGCATAAATTTTAAAATCAAAGCAAATAAAATGAAAAACCTATTTTGGTTATATGGTTAAATACAATAGCTAAACAAGAATTTTTCGTTAGTTCGAATCGAGTGATCAGTGTGATCGAAAAGTGAAAATCTCTCCCGCAGCTGGTCAATAGCACAATCTCTGCATCTGTCTGTCTCTCAGCACATGCCGTTAGCTGGCCGCGAAACTAGTTCTTTGCCTAAGTCTTTTGTCAAGATGGCTTTTAGGCACTCACACATACACACTCACACACTTACACTCTCACACATTCTAACATACATTCACACTCATCGGCTTAGCTATAGCATCTTCATTTCCATTTCAGGGGCAACGGCAACTAAAGTAAACCAAAACCATGACAAGCAACAATTAGGCCGCTTAACGCTTTCGCATTCGAGCGCCTCGAAACTCATTGAAACATTGAAGCATCAAAGAACTAAGTAGAACTAGAACTAGCTTGTCATCGCCTCGCACCACTGACCGGCTCCAGTTGCAAGCCAAGGCCGGCTGGCCAAAAAAAAAGAAAAAAACCCCAACCAAACGGCGGCTTTAACGCTTATTTTCTTTTCGTTCAAACCACCAACAACAAAATCGCAATAATGAATTATCAGAAGGCCAGTGAAACGCATTCACCGTCCTCGTTCAAGAAGCCGAAACGGCCGACGGGCAACGGGAACGGGAACAGCATACAAAACTTTTGGAACGAACGCATCATGGAGCGCTTTATAAAGGCGAATCTATTCATTATTTGCTGTGTGGCGGCGGGCCTCTTGCTGGTAAGTAAACCAATATCGTGATTTACACTTGCTCACACACACACACACTCACACACACACACACTCACACACACACATACATATATTTAGTCATGTACCCCATCATTATAATTCTGCTGTTGTGTGTACCGTTATGATAACACCCCGGCCACTTTTTGCGCCACTTAAGTGAAAATGAAATGAAATGAAATCGTTTCGCACAAAACATAAAAATTTCAGCTTTTTGTGCTGCTGTTGCTCTTGACAGACTGACTGACACACGAACAGCAGCAACAAGCGCTCATTAATTGATTGATGGATGACTGCGGAGCTAAAGTGTCTTTGCTTTTGTGCACAGCCTCTGCTCCAACAACATCTTCAACATCAACATTAGCTCTATTTCCAACTGCATCTTCAACGGTTGCAGCAACAACAGCTAAATTTCGGTTTCCGTTTTGTTTGATTTCTGCTTTCGCTTTCTATAGGCTTGTTGAGACTTTGTTAATGTTTTCAAGAGGGAATTAACGCTGTAAATCTACCATTTGCGACAGCACAAATTATATGCCAACATTCTAAATCAGTATTATTACTTATTAGCTATTATTAGTTTGAGTAATATGTCTCATAGCTACAATAGCTCACTTAAAAATTGAATTCTTACTTATACAACTCTTATGTTTACTTAAGAATCTCAGTGTCAGATGACTAGAATAAATAGGAACTATCGATAGAATATATGTAGACAAATCCATTAATTTAGAATTATTCAGATTTTCAACTTTCTGAAAGAACCATCTTAGCTTCATATCACCATATGATAATATAAAGTCGTTTTTGAAACAGTATCTCTTAATAATAAATTTCTTTTCTGAATAACTTTTAGTACTAATTAAGATATCCCATCAATGATTCATGATTAATGTCTTTTTCTTTTGTTTTGCACTCAATTTTCTCGCCTGGTCCACATAGATAGTGTATTTGGGCGCTTTCTCGTGTGAGGTCTCTTGGTTGCTTGAGGCGCATGGAGAGCTGCCCATTGCTGCCTATACGCTGTGCACTCTCTACTTTGTGATGTTTGTGGCCAGCACCATCTTAATCCATGGCCTGGTCAGTGGTCTGTGCTGGCCACTGTTTGCCTGGTCGGCTGTTATAGGACTGCTGTCCATACCAGAACTGGTGCTAGTAATGCTCATGACCACCCAGCACTGGGTAAGTACAAAAACAGATTTAGGTAAAGCCTTGGCTAATCCTTATGGCCTCTGCAGGGTTTGCAATCGGTACATGGATTGACGGAGCTGACATCCTACTTGATTCGACTGATTATTAACTGCCTGGCGTTGATCTGTGTCATACCCACGGGCATCAAGTGGCGTCGCGAGAGGCAGGTGCTTAATCAACTGCAGGGATTGGCCACACGACTTTCGTTGCAAACTCCTGCACCCAGTGTGCCCATGACGAAAGCAGATTCTCGTCGCTCCAGCCAGCGGCTAAATGGCTTCGAGAATGCCGGCTATCAGTTGTGCGACGAGACAAAGATGCCCCTGGGCAATGGACTCAATAATGCGGGCGGCCAGTTGTTTGGCTCACAGAATGAGTTCAATGCCAGCATGTTTGCTCCGGCACTGGCGCAACAGTTTAGCTCAGTTGCTCCGGGCCAGCGATCGAGTGGTCATCGCGCCCAGTCACTGATGGATCTGCGCTGCACGCTGCCGGGCATGTATAATCCAAGGCATGTGTTGGACACGGAGGACAAGAATGCCAAGTATTTTAACATCACCATTGATGATCTGAAGAACAATCTGCAGGATTCGCATAGGCCGTCGCCGCCATCGCTAATAGGCAGCACTAGCAACGATCCGATCTACTGTTCCATTGAGCCCAAGCAGCTAACTCCACCACCCGCCCAGCTGCGTCACCATCAGCAGCAGCAACAGCAGCAGCTGCAACGTGGACACAAGCACGGGCCGCCGCAGAAGCTCTCGCGCAACTGCATATCACTGGAGAATCTGGATGGAGTCAATAAGGTGCAGAATGACCTGGCTGCCTATGGCAACAATCTGCTGCAGAATTATACGCAACAGCAGCAATACTATCTCGCCATGCTCCTCAACAACCCCCTCCAGCATCAGCAGGCGGCTGCTGTTGCGAATCTCTATCGTCGTCCCTCCGCCTGCAGTTCCCAGGGTAGCTGCACGGTGCTGGCGCAACCGCTGCAGCGACGTGGCTCCCAACAGCAGATGCAGTACTACGGCGGATTTGGATACGCCAACTATGCCAATCCTTACATCACAGCCAACAGTAAGTTGTCGCTGGGCAATGAGTCCGATGACTATCGCAAGTACCGCGACGTGGCACTGTAGAGCGGATCATTCGCACCGACTTTAGATTAAGCGCCCAGTCATAACTCTATATATAGTGCATATATATGTATATGCATTCACATACTCATTAGCTGTAGAACGCTCGACTACCACATTGACATTCCTCGGAATAACGACCAAAGAGCCACAAAACTAACTCAGTTTCAGTTCGTAAAGTTACAAATTGAGGAAGCCGCACAGCTTGTAGATTAGCTTTAGTTATAGATGTTAAAAATTCTAGATATCGCCTACGAACTTCCCTTTCACAACGACAACGATTTAGTTTACGATTCCAATTAACATTATCTTCTGAGGAAACACTTTGTAATACCAGAATATATTATTATTTAATTATATTATGTAATTAAAACTTGTACTCATTGAATAATTAAGTAATTACTGCCCGAAATTTATAATTACTGCCTGAAATTTCGAATTACTTAATGGTCAGATAACAAAATTACTGAACTGTAAAGTAATCATTTCCTTACACAATTAATTTCAGGTGCAGTAATTACAATTGTAATTAATAAAACACTTGCAAATACATTTGCTATAACTTTTAATTACTCTAGCAGTTATCGCTTGTTTTTTCTAATTACTTAAGTAATTATGTGTGTAAAATCGCCTCAGTACTGAAATACCTTGGATTAGCGATTAAAAAGGACAACTCTGTATTTGATATTAACGGATATTGAAATTGATTTCTGTAAAGTTGTGTTTAATTATATCTAACAAATCGATAATTGTAAATACATATATACTTGTAGTATTCTATTCAAATATTTTTAATATTAACTAAAAGTCACTCACGGATCCAATAGATCAGCCAGCGGATTATCGGAAGCATTCCCTGCACTTGCCGGCAAGGGCGTGGCCGTTATCTTGCTGGGCACCTTTTTGGTCACGTTGCGTGGAGCCGATTTAACGATCTTGGCCTTACTGACAACAGCACCTCGCTTAACGCCAGCTCCACCACCAAACAGATCATCGTCATCGTCATCATCGCTGAAGAGACTTTTACTTGGTTTAGTCGGCAGCCTTGACTTGTTGCTCAAGGATTTGGGCAGCTTCTCCTCCTCGCTGCTGCTGCTGCTAAAGACAGAAGTTTGGCTTATGAAAGCAGCTGGAACAGGATCAGCTGCAGGAATCGGAGTATGTTTGGGATTGGTTTTAGTTATGGGAAGAGAGGCGCTGCCAAATAGATCATCATCATCATCGCTGTCATCAAACAATTTGCTGCTGTTGGGCTTAACAGCCTTTGGCTTAGACTTGGTCACCAGCTCTGCCGGTTGCTGTTTGTTTAAAGAAATGGAAGCAGCTGTGGATTTGATTTCCTTTTCGAGAGGTTTCTTGACTGGCAAATTAGAAACTGCTTTCGCTTTTTGTGCCGGCTTAAAGAGTGCATCATCATCATCATCATCGCTATTAAAAAATGAAGACGCCAATTTGTCTTGCTTTAATGCAACTTTCTTGATCTGTGGTTCAGCTGCTGATGGCTTCGCTGGCGCAACTGATGCTGAACTAAATAAGAAGTTGTCATCGTCACCGTTGTTATCCAAAAATGAAACATACGATTTAGGGGGCCCGGTATTTGTTCTTGTTGTGGACACTAATGGCGACGGTGATCCACTTGGTGGGCTAAAGCCGTAACTCCTTTGATCATCCTCATCGCTGTCCAAAAATGAAGGCACCTTGAAGTCATCCTTTGGTATCTGTTGGCTGGCCAAAGCAGCTGCAGCTGGTTTCAAGAGGGAACTGCTAGTTTGTTCCTTCTTGGCAAGGGGCTTTAAGTCATCTTCCGGTGGCTGTGTGGGCAATAGAGTTGAAACAGCTGCTGGCAAACCTGAAGACACTGCAGCAGATTTTCTCTGCACTCCTTTGCCAAAGAGCGCATCATCATCCGAATCGCTGTCGAGAAATGATGAGGACTTGGCTGAGTTTGTTAATTGGTGAGTTTCCTCGGAATGAGCAGCTGCTTGCTGGAGTGGTTTAACCAAAGCAGCATCTGCAGCAACTTCATTATTATCATCACTCTCAAAGCTGGGCAGCTGTGCTGTCTTGCGTGCAATGCTGGAAGTGTCTGCTGCAGCAGCTATTGGAGCTGCGTCATCCGGTTGCTCCTTTAACAGTGTCTTGGCATAGTTCTCCTGTCGCGCCCGTCGAGTCGAGGGACGCCGATGAGCTGGACCACGCACGCGGGTTTTACTAATACACTGAAGAATGCTATCCGTCTCGCTCGAGCTGGACTTGCCAGCTTGGTGGGCTGGGGGTGGTTCTGTTGCTGGTGCTACTGCTGAAGCTGGAGTATTTGCTTGCTTCTTGGGAAGCTTTGGCAAAGCGCCTCCGCCAGGCAGGAGCGCTTTGACATTGATATTTATATTGGGCATTTGCAGTTTTTTAATGGGTGAAGGAAGCTTGAGCGGCTCAGATGCACTCTTATCCACAATATCGATAGGTGGCGGCTCATCAATGATCTGATGGCTGGCGCCAGCACGAGCCGTCTCACTGAAGTCATCATAGAAGATGGTGTGTATGCGCTTTGTGGATGCACCAACTGACTCCACACTGAGAGGAGCCACAGCGGTAGCTAATCCTTCATTCTGATCATCATCATCCTCTGGCGGCACATCGCTAAATAGATGCATGCCACCATAATCCTTGTTGGATTGCTCCAACGACGTCGCAGCTGCTGGCGTTGCCTTTGAGCCACTTTGCGGCAAGTCTGGCAAGTTGGGCTCGAAGAAATCCTGAGCGCTATCAAACATTTTTGAGGCGCTCAAACTGCTCAGGCTGCTGGTGCCAAGAGACTGAAAGAACTCGCTATCGTCGGGCGGCTCATCCGAGAAAAGGCTCGAGTAGTTCTGCATGATTTGCTGTGCGGCTGCAATGTCCTCGGCTGGTGGTGTCTTTGGAGTTCCGATTTCTGTTTTCGATTTATTATTGCTTACATCTGCCACCAGGCTGATGATGGGATCCTCGTCATGTTCTTCTATTGCTGAGCTGTGCTTTAGGTTATCGAATAAATCATCCATTATTAAAGCCCTCTCATGCTGCTGCTCCACTTCCTCTGCTGCATCCTCGGCATCATCAGTTTCCTTTTTGTTCGTTGGCTCCAACTGAGCAGGTAGTTTGCCATTCTCCTCCTTCTCAGTTGTTTTAATCGCAGCTAAATCAACTATTGGTTTTGTAATTTTATTTGTTACTTTGGCTTCATCTGCATTTTTGAGCGAGGAGCTTTTAATTGCTTCCTCATCACTGAAATTGTCACTAAATATATCTGCTTTTGGTGTCTTCAATTCCGCCCCTTTAATTTCCTTTGTCGGATCATTCAAATCCTTTGGTATCTTAGGCTTTTTGAGCTGATCTCTAGCGAATCCTTCAACGGCTTCCTCATCACTAAAATCGTCACTAAATAGATTTGGTTTTGGTGTCTTCAATTCAGCTACTTTGATTTCCTTTGCCGGATTAGGCAAATCCTTTGCTGCCTCAAGCGTTTTGAGATGATCTTCAGAGAATCCTTTAATGGCTTCCTCATCACTAAAATCGTCACTAAATAGATCGGCTTTTGACTTTGGGTCGGGTGTCTTCAAATCTGCTACTTTTGCTGCTTGCATATCTTTTGAAACCTGATTCTTAGTATCCAACGATTTGGGCAGATCCTTAACATTTTGTTCCTCGAGCTTAGCTGTCTTTATTACGCCTTCGATTTTCTTTGGTCTGTCTGAAATATCTTGTTCCTGCTGCTTAAGCTTATTCTCTTTGTCCCGCTCCTCTTGAATAGCTCCAACGAATAGCTGCTTGGTTGACTTGGGGGTGCCAAACAAATCATCATCGCCAATATCATCGAAGAGACTTTTTCGCTGAATATTTGGTGGCTCAGCAACTGGCTGTGGCTGCGTTTGTTCCCGCTCCTGTTTCAGCTTAGATGACTGAGAAGTAGGCTTTGAGGTTGAACTGAATATATCATTGGCATTATCATCATCGTCATCATCGAACAGCGAAGTCTTTGCAACCATTTTGCTGGCCAGTGGGTTTGACGGCATCTTCTTGGCAAATATATCATCGATATCCAAATCATCATCATCATCATCAAATAGGGAGATTTTAGGAGCTTGCTGCTGTGGCTTTGCCTTTGGCGTAAAAGCACTGAGGAAGTCATCTACATCATCATCCAGATTGTCATCGAAAAGCGAGGTGGGCATCTTTTTAGCAGTCATGGCTGCAACTTTGGGCTGTTCTCTTAGGGTGGGTGTCAGCGGTGGACTCTCGTCGAAGAGATTATGATTACGCAATGGTGTCTCCTTTGGTGCCGTCTGGGCAGGTGCGATAGGTTTGACTTGTTCAGGGGCCGGTTTTGCTTTAGGTGGCTCCTTCGCGTGGACAACAGTGGCTGGTGTCGCTGGGCTGTTGGTAGACTTAGATTTTACCTTGTCCACAATTTCAGACATAAACGAATCGAATTCATCATCATTGAAGAGATTTACAGGCTTGCGTTTAATTTGACTGGGTGCAGCGGCTGGTTTTATTTCACTCTCCTGGCTAATAGGCACTTCAATTGGCGCAGCTACTGTTATTGGTTCATCAAATAGTTTTGGTGGCGATTGTCTGCCCACAGGATGTGGTTTGCTGGCGCTGCTGCTGCTCGAACTGAGCGAGTGATCCACACGGGGTAAACCATGCGCCGTTAGATGCCTGTGCGATATGGCTGGCGATGAGTTCAGCGAGGAGGAGGTGGATGGCGGATCGTCGCTGGGTGGTGAAGCACGCAGTGCCTGAAAGAGATCGCTCTCGTGTGGATTCCTTTGACTGCTGATAATTGGACGCGGTTGCGCCTGGCTGCGAGCGGCTGGTGCCGCAATAGGCTGTGCTGCAGGCCTTGAAATTGGCTCCTGGGGCAGAGAGGCCAACGAGGAGGAATCCGATTGCTGCATTTCCACTGGCTGACTTCTGGGAGTAGGCTTTGGAGCAGAAGCAGCAGCTGCTGCAGTCGTAGCCGTTTCCAGCTCATCCGAAGAACTCGAGGAGAACTGCTCGGGATGCTCATCCTCGCTGTTCTCGGCGCTGTCATAGAGTCCGGCATACTTATGCTCCTGCCACTGTTTGGAGCCAATTATGTAGGGCAAAGGTATGCTATCGTAGGGATTCTTAGCCCGAAAAACAGTGCTGCAAGTAATCCAAACTTGAAAATGATTTGCAGATCACAATTGCAATACATACGTGGTATTCACAGCACCATCGTCTTCGTCATCCGAGTCAGGTAATTCAATGGTCACCGGTTCAAAGTTCTTTCTAAACATCCTCAAATTGTTTTGCAGAAATTCGTTGGCCATTTCCTGGGAACTCTTCACCGGAAGCTCTGGCTGAAATTCTCTGTATTATTAGAATATGCAATTCCAACCATTTGGATCTTTCTTCATACCTTCTTATTCTGTTCCTCGGGCATGACAAAATCATCGTCGTCCACTTCCTCCACGCGATACTCGACGAACTGCTGCCCAAATTGCAGCGAACGGAGACTGTTGGTCGCATTATCTAACGCAATATCAACGCGCCTCACATTCGTTTCGAATTCCTTTAATTTGTGGCTGGTGCGTTCGCCGCTTTCGTGCAGATTCTAAAAAAAAAAAAAATACACATTATGAGTATGGTGAAAATTGCTCAATTATCATGCATATTTCACATCCCACCTGAGAGATGCGTTTCATCAGCTCCAGCAGCGCGCAATCTCCAGCGAAATTCCATTCCGACGCTTGTGCGACAATGTCAGCCACTTCAGCGTTTATATCCATTTTCCCTTCAATTAATAACGCCTCAATTTTGCAAAAATACTTTGTAAACAAAAGAGAATTGCCGCTGCAGCAGCTGTCAGGCACAACACCATTTGGGCCCACACACGTTACGGCAGCCATACATCATACGATACAGAATTAATCTCATTATTCATAATTATTAATAAACTTCAATTAATTAAATTGACATTTTAAACTAAAAACTGCTAAAAGAGCAATAAATAAACACAATCTCTGCTATTCAGTTACATCAAGCCAATGGCTCACACACGATACAGCCGATAGACAAATGTCGTGTACTCATTCGTGCTTCAGGTAACAGCTGTTTTCTTCACCCTCACGGTCTCTGGCATTCTACACGTGTTTGGCGTTTGCAGCGTTTGTATTTAACAAAAAAATAATTGTTTTATTTATTACTAAATATATAAAAGTTAGTTAACTTAAACGCATAAGCCGTGGCAACTACAGCATTTTACACGAAAAATGGCAATGCTCGCAGAACCGCGCCGTCGCAAACGCTACAATTTGTGTCCGCGCGGCAAGGCGCTCTACGAAGGTGTGTAAAGAGGAATAAAAAAAATTAAACAACTATTTCAATATATTTGTGCATTTAACTTGCAGATGACACTCGTTTCGGCACAAAAATGCTCGAGAAGATGGGCTGGTCCAAGGGCCGGGGCCTGGGCGCGAAAGAGGATGGCTCGCAGGAATTTGTGCGTGTGCGTTTCAAGAACGACGCCGAAGGATTGGGCTACGAAATGCGCGATGATCAATGGACCGAGCACGAGGAGGGCTTCAACGGGCTGCTGAAGGCACTAAATGGAGGCGACACCAATGGTGAGATTGCAAATCCGGAGAATGACGATGCATCCGCATCCGAAGAGGAAAGGCGACCCATGGGATTTGGCTTCAAGTCAGCAGCTGCTGATGAGGAGGTCAAACCAAAAACGCTTAAGGAGAAGATCAGCGGGGTATCGCTGGAGGAGAAGTCCAAGTACAGTAAAGCTCGTGTGCACTACAAAAAGTTTACGCGTGGCAAAGATCTGTCGCAATACAGCGAAAAGGATCTGGCCAACATATTCGGTAAAAAAGTAAGCGAGGATAACGCAGCATCCGTTGAAGTTATCCCAGCCGAACAGCCCGAAGAAGAAGAGAAACCGGTGAACCCGAACTTTTCCGGAGTGCAGACTGTGATCACTGGTCTCTCCGTGAATGATTACTTCAAGCAGAAAATGGAGGCTATGAAAAATAGGCTCTCAAATGGTTCAGCCTCTAAAGTTACTGAAACGAGTCCCTTGTTAAATGAAGCTGAAGATAAAACGGAAGCTGTGACTGCAAGCGGAAGCAAAGATGATGAGCCACCTAAAAAAAAGAAGAAAAAGAAGGACAAAAAACAGGAGGAGGAACAGGCGGAAAGTGAGCTACCCGTAGAAACCGTTACAAGAAAAGCGAAGAATAAGAAAACAAAACGTGCAGCGGACGAAGATGAAGCGGAGCTGGAGAAAGGAACGATCGAAACAGACGAAAACAATCCTCCCAAGCGCAAAAAGAAAAAGAAGGACAGACAAGAGAAGGCAGAAGTTCTGATAGCGACACCAGACCCAACGAATGCTGAGCCTAAAAAGAAGAAAAAGTCAAAGAAAATAGAGGAGACAATACCTGAAACGACAGCAGAGACTGAGTCGCCTAAAAAGAAAAATAAAAAAAGTAGAACAGGAGACAAAGAAGAGCCAACAATACAACCAGAAGTAAGAGAGGAAACTGCGCCCAAAACGAAAAAGAAATCTAAGAAAACAGTTGAACAGTCATTGAATGATGTGGAGGACCTAGCGCAAGAGGATCAACCCACAGCAAAAGGAGAACAATCCGATCAGCTGATCGCAAAAGAGAAGAAAAAAAAGAAGTCGAAGGAGCACAAGTCCGAAGTAAGTGCCAACAATGCTGATATTGTGTGCTCCGGCGATGATAATGATTCAGCAACAGAAGCGGACGCAGAAGCACACAAATTCTTTACAATGGAACAACTTATTAAGAAACATGACTCATTCAATGAATTCAAAATCTCTTCATTTTGTGCAGAAAAATTCCACATACTAAACATGAACGCCTTCAAGAACTCATCGCTGGCTCAGATAACTGGATATACGTTCGACGATAACATTAAACTGAATATTGTGGAGGCGAAGGACGATGCGCAGCGTATTACTGATCTTTGGGAAGGTGCACAGTCTAAATACACGCGATCCTTTAAAACCAGACATCGGAGACTTAACATCAAGGATATAAAAAAAATAAAAAGAATCAAAGCCTTTGCGGGAATTTAGGGAACCAAACAAAAAAAAATAAATAAAATAACACAAACAATAAGAAATTCAAATTATTAAAGCAATCAGAATTTTAATTCACCTGATTTCTTAAACGTAGAGTTTATATTAGTTTTGTACATAGTTTCCATTTTAATGTGTAACAATAACACAATAAAAAGAACCAGCTCTATATATATATATACTATATGCGCCGACATAAAGTTGATTTGATTTATGTGTGTTTTTCTTTGTTGTTGGATTGTTGACGTTAATTGGATTCTTGATCTTAGGAGCTGCTGCCACAGCTATGTTCTGTGCCATATGTCTTCAGTCTTGTTCAAAGAACCAAGAGGGACTGATGTATGTTTCAAGTATTGTTTTGGTTTATAGCGTTGGTGGATATCGTGTCACTTAGTATATTGATTACTTTGCAAAGCCTTACAAGCTGGATATTATTGTATATGTAAATTTAAAAGTTAAGATTAACGTAACCTATATACAGTAAGCAATATCAACCGGCAACGCTATACCAAAATAAATAAACTCTAATCTGGAGTCACATTTCGATTGGCCAATCGACGCGAGCGTCTCAACGGTTTGTTGTCCTGCGTGTGGCTTCTACGACGCTTCTGCGCCTGTGTGGCAAAATTCCGATTGTAGTTGTTCAGATGCACATGCGTATCCCACTAAAAATAATAAATATATTAATCAGATCATCATGTCATTTAAAAACAGTTGCTTATTGTGTCTCTTACCGAACTGGACACAATTTCTGAGCGCACTGGATGCCAGTCCAAGTCGCGAATGACTTGCTTGTGCCCTTCAATAGCCTCTCGAATTTTGCCCGTTAGCACGTCATAAACTGCAATATGTCAAATATTTGGTTAAAGAATGCAACAATTCTGAGAGACAGAAACTCACTAATAATTCGCCCCGTTGCACAGCCCGTGTAAATGAAACGCTGTCCAGTCTGCTCCATGGGTGAGAATTTGGCTCGCTGAAGCGTTTTACTAACGCGATGACCGCGATAAGTCATTATGCTGCTATCACCATCAAGCGCCTTGTGTGGATTGTAAACTGAAAACAAAACAATAAGCAAAAGTTTCACACCGATGGATTTAAATCAGAGATAAGAAAGATAAGAAATAAATATGGTGTGCGTTCCATGTATCTTTAATGTATTTGTCACAATCCACTTGACGTTCATAAAGAGCCCAACAAATATAATAAACTTTTGCTTACATTCACGTGGCACACGATCCCAGCGATAATCCCAATTGGTCATCGTTAAGTGATGTTGGCGGTCGCTACGGTTCCGCTGACCGCTGGGCTGGCGCATATCCCAGATTTTAATGCTTTGGTCCTTGGAATTGGTGAGGACATGGTAGCCGTCGTTGCGCGAATCAATGTATGTAATGCCATCGAAGTGTCCAATAAACGAGAGGACAGACTTGGACGGGTTACGGCCGCGGAAGGATGTACGCAAGTCGTACACCTTCAGCAGGCCATCATCACAGCCTGCGATTATCACATTCGGATCATTGTGGTTCACATAGCACACAGCGTTTACGTCCGTTACGGGTATGCGATGTGTGCGCAGGATTTGGGTAACGCGCGTCTGGACATCGCCAACAATGACGCTGGCATTGCTGCTGCCACCAATAATTTTATCACCTGTTGGCGAGAAGCGCAGCGAAAAAATTCCAGCTCGACTGCTGGATGTCTCGTTCACATCAATCCACTGACAGTCATCCTCAGAACCATTAACTGGCATTATATAAACTGTAAAAGGGATAATTTTTTTAATTTTTAATATTATTACATATATTTTGACTTACATGAACGCGACCAGGTGGAGTAGGCAAAATGCTGGCCATTCGGACTGAAATCAGCGTCCATGATGCACCACTGAACGTCGCGAGCATTCATGCGGTTCAGCAGATGATAGGTGCCCTTTGACCCATCGTATATACGTACAAAGCCATCTGCAAGACAAACTACGTATTACTTAAATTCAAGACAACTTCATGTACAGTGGTCATTCGTAAACAATAAAGGCAAGTAACCAAAATATAATTTTAATTATCATTAACTCTGAAAACAGAACTCTCAAAAGATATTCCGACAAATTCTACACACACATAATATGATTTTTAAAACATTAGAAAATTTCCGGAAATCATAAATAGCAAATGACCACTGTACATGTGTCGTAAGATTGTTTTAAACAAAGATTGACCTTGGCAAGCTGTTAAGAGTTTGCTCCCACTCTTGTTGAACTTGGTAACATAGATTTTTGCGTCCAGCGACATCAGTCGCATCGACCTGTGATTTGGTATATACATATTTGAGATGTAGCGCTGCTGATTCGGGGAGAAGGAACCGCTGCCAGGTGAGGCGATTCCATTTTCGCGCTGCAGCAGCGCGTGCATTAGATTGAAGCGCTTTTCTGTTGGCTTGCTGAGCAGACTGCTGCGCGCTTGAACTTCTTTGTACATATCTGTGGTCTGAAAATTTGTTTTGGCTGAATCATCACTGTAATCAAATGGGGCTTTGTTAGTTTCGGGCTTACTTGAAATTGGTCTACATTTGGTTTTTCACAAACTGGGAGACTGCTTGGATGGTTATTTGGGGGACGCAATTGCAAGTCCATGGCGTTGACCGTAAAATTGATAACATTGTAGCCAAATTCATCAACGGGTAACTCAAATGGGTCATCGTTGTCACTTAGGAAGCCCAAAGAATTTCCCATTCTACTGTGAAAGCCAAACTAAAAATGCAATTTAGTCCAATTGTTGTTTGTTAGATCTGGCGATAAATTGTGGCGGCACGACGATAAGTGCAGTCAGCTGGTCTTTTAACGATAGTACTGACTGGCTATGGCAGGTGTAAATGCTTTTTGCAACACTAAATATTGTGACCGTTCTGATTAGTTGTTTTTTGAATTAAATTAATTTTTCGCTTTCTGCTGGAATATTTTTGACAATTTTCGTTTAAATCATTTAAACAATGTTTCAGATTATTTTATTTTAGATATTTGCACCCTGTCTGTTAGTTAACAGATATGCTTTGACTCAAAGCTCTATGAGAGGCTTTGAGCTTACATATGTCTCAAAGCTCGAATCAGTTTCACGGCGATCGTCAACGAAATAGCGTGCGCAGTGGTCGGTTTCTTTCGTATTGCACTTGTTATGTGTATATGTATGTGTGTGTTTGGTAATGAAATTTGTTACATACCCGTTTATAACTCACATTTGTGTTAGTTATCCAGTTGTGCTGTTTGTTTGCATACACAAACACACATACACGCGCTCACACGCACATACGCATTCGTAAAAAATATGACAAAAATGCCAAAAATTTAATAAAACATAAAGAATCTGCGTTGTGTTAAGAGGCAAACTTTTATGTTCACTCAACTGTGTGTATGTGTGTGTGTATGAGTTTTGTTAGTGGCGAGTTTTGTTTCTATACCCAGCTTATGCTTATGCCGTATAGTGTGCATATGTGTACGTATGAGTATGTGTATGTGAAATTTATCATAAATACTTTTGCACAACGCGCGCCCCTCAAAACGCATGAGAAGAAAGTTGTTTAGCTGCGTAGAAAACAACACACACACACGAATCACGAAGCAAAAAAAAAACCAAACACAAAACCAAAATCAAGAATAACAGAAAACAATTGAAATGCTGAAATACAAAGTATGTCAAATGTGGAGTAGATGAAAGAAGGGCCGCAAAAAGTGCATAACGACTAAAAACAATCATCTAACTGAATGCAACTTGCTTTCCAGCCATGTATAAGTACATATATAAGTACATATGTATGTATATCGCTTGTGTATAATCAAGGCAAAAATAATAATAATAAAAGTAATGCAAAGAGACGAGAAATAATTTACAAAAAGTAGAGCGCACCAACGGAGACACACACAAAAAAGTGAAAGATTGCAAGCGTGCGCTGCTGACGTCGCATCTACACACACACACAACCACACACAGGCAGAGCAAGAGTGCGAGTGAGAGAGAGATAGAGAGAGAAGTAGAGCTAGAAGGCACCTGCTCTCATTGCTGCTGCTGCATATTTGTGTTTTTATTTCCCTTTTGTCTGTTTTGTTCGTAAATAATAAGAGTTGTCTGTGTAATTTAGTGCGCACTGTGTTTTAGTGTTGGTTAGTTTGTTACTTTACTCACAGACAATTTTGACAGTTCTCCCGCATTGTGGGTTGCCTTCTGCGGATAACTTTCAATTAACAGTTTGGATTTAGTGCACTTGCAATTAGCACTAGTTAAAAAAAGGTACTCAAGAGGCAAACTTATTTGGCATTTGCTGAATCCATTAACAAGATTGGCGCCCACTTTCCACATTCCACATTCATATTTGCGCATTTCATTTGCCACAAAAGATCCCAATCGGCAGTCACCGTTATCTTTTTTCTCCTTTTATTTTTAATGCTATTCATTTCGTTTCGTAAGCGCGCAATTTAAATGTGTTTTTTCTATTTTCGTTTTTATCTTTTTTGCCTTTACCCGTGCAGCGGCCGAAAGTGACGCAATCATTTGCATTTTACTTAAATATGTATGATTGTTTCATTCCTAATGACTGGAAACCAGTTATAGATATAAGCACGCTGTGTTTTATTTTACTATTGTTTTGTTATTGTGATGTTGCCCCTCCTCCCCTTTCCTGACTGTTTGCATTGTGATTAACAGCGGTAATTATGCCAATACAAGCTCATTAAATTGTTCAATTTATTAACGTTGTTGTCGCTGCTGCAATGCTTCTTTTACTGTTATTAATATTGAATGTCATTGTTGTTTTTTTGTTATTGGCCAACAATAGAGTTTTTCATAGGCAAACAGAAGACTTAAGCAACGAACTTGCCACCAAAGCTGCCAGGCAGCTAAATTGATAAACCATAAACTCAAGACGCTCTTTATGCAAATGTCTCACTTTTATATTAATCTATTTGAATTTGTTTTGATACAGCGACTTTCGTTTTCTTTATTCAAGTCTTTTCTGTATGCCCTGACAGAAATTTTCTGTAGCACCATCTTCGAGCCTGAAATTATTCAGAAATTAATACCATAATTTCCAACCTCGCCATTCAACTATTTAGTGTTTTTTGATAGTACGACTGAGTTTATTTTCATGTCTTTGAGAACTTTTAGTATCGGCATTACGTAATATTTAAAAAAATAAATATATACATTTCCATTGAATATATTTCTTCTGTAATATTCCGGTTTTTGATGACCTTCGTATATTAAATTTGTTTAAAAATCTAATTGGCACATTTTCTAAATTTCCGCTTACAATTTATCATTGTCTAAATGAACAATGAATATATGTTTATGCAAATTGTAAGCTTCTTAATAATTGAAAATGCATGTTTTGCTAATAAATAAAGCAATCATTCATATTTTGTTTTCCCAAGTTTCAGATTTTGAAAAGATATTGTTATCGCAGTTAATATAGTTATTGGTGTCATAAAGTTAAAAAAAATTGTAGATTGCCAAGTGGCCTTGTAATTTGTTGCTAGACATTTTTCGTATACTATTATTCAAATGCATTGAAATGGAAAACAGCTAGAAAATCAAGTGACACATGAGACAACTTTTATGCTTGGCATGTGCGAAATTCTACGCTGCCTAAGCACATAAAGTCCCCATCTCCCCTTTCCACCCACCACTTCCTTTGTGTGTTTCGAAATGGCAATGCGATAGCGATAGGGAATACGTATAGGAAGAGCGCCTGAAACACTTCTTAGTCACACTCCGCTGCTCATGGATACAATTGTAGAAAATCGTGACTATGATGTAAGCCCCACAACACATATCGCAACAGGGCGTTTTGTCGCAGCGACCAAACTTATGATTTGTAAGCAGTTGTCCAAGTCAAAGTTTTGTCATTACAATTATCATTACACGCTAATTATGTCAAAAGCAGCGTCTAATTAGACCATTCAATCACTCGCATTGCGTGATCGCATCACAGATCTGGCATTTATATATTCTCCCCACCTCCGTCTGTTTGTTCGCTGATGTGCTCTTTTGTGGGCGTTTCATTCATGGCTCGCAAATGTCGTTTGATTGTTTGTGTGGGCCGTCAGCGGCGCCAAATCAATTTACTCAGCTTGAGCCTATCAATCGCTTTATGGACAGCCCATTGACAGAATTTACTTAGCTGTGCTGTGATGAGAGCTGTTTGGAATGCAGAAAGGTGTCAGTTAATAAGTTGAACACATTTTTGGAGCTCACTTTAAATGATAAGTCGAATTTAATCAACATTTTCCGAAGGCAAATAAATGCATTAGGACAAATTTGAGCTGTTTCTGGTGGAGAATTAATACCTCTAGATATATCAATTTGATTGCACATTTGATTACAAATCGTGAAAGCAAGCTAAGTGTTGTCTAGAAACTCTAATCTGAAAATATAAACAGTGTTTAGAAGCCCATGTCAAATATGAATTCATTAGTGGAAGTCTTTGATCAAAGTTGCAAATTACAAGTAAATCTTCGAAGAGAGAACCTGATTGTGTTATGTATGTTTATCAAGAGATAATGAACAAATCTTTTTCATCTTGGTTTTATATAAGTTGCTTGCCTGCAAATAAGGGGTATAGAAAAACATTAACAAAATATATATATAAATGTGGGAACAGGGTCTAGCGAGTCAATTAAGTTTTCAATTGCTTGAATTTTTTTTCTTTGTTCGAAAGCGTAGTTCAAATGGAAAAAATATTCAATAAAGGCTGTTTTGTACAAAAATTGTTCAATTAATTGTCTAAAACACTCAAAAGAAATAAAATTAATTTTCCCAGACTCGTAATTTTTGGGCGTTTTTGAAAATAGCTTCAAGACTCATTGTTGAAACCCCAAAAGTAAAATGGAAAAACAATTGAAATGCAAATCATAGTTGAATAACTGCGCTCAGCTTCCTCCATTCGAGACATTCGCATTTGGTACGCTCGATCGAGAGCAAAACCTCAAAGCGGAACTTGAACATAATTTACAGGCAATCAAAATAATTTGGTGTTACAAAACGTTGCCTGCATTTTCATTTAACATGCGAGGCAAGGCAAGGCAAGTGGCATGCAATCGGCGGCAGCCGCAGCGCGGCCAGCAACCTTCAATGCGGCTCAATGATGCCGCAATCGTGCTAATCATAAAAAGACAACAGGCAACAGTAATAGTGCAAACACCCCTCCCCACATACCCCCTGGACACAGCTGTTCCCCCCTTTCTAACAATTGCTTAACGTTCATTAAACTTGAAAAGAAAGCAAAGCTCGACAACAAAACCGCATTAGTTTTAATTTTGGCCAAATGCGGCAAGTGCAAGCAGAAATGCAACAACGGCAACAACAATCAATTAATATTACATGCTCTTTATGTATGTGTGTGTGTGTCTGTGTTTTATGGTTGCCATCTCTGATTTAATTGTGGAAAATGTGCAAAAAGCAGCAACAACAATCACAGCAATTAATCAAATGGAAAGAAAAATTAAATTCAATGGCGACGGCCTCCTTCTGCAACTGGTACCAGGCGCGCGCTTTGCCATTTTGCAGTTGCACGTTTGCAACAACAGCAACAGCAACAAGTTCAATTGTTGCACGTTTGTGGCAAGTTGCTGCGGCGAGGTCAATGGCAATGCCGTCGCTGCCACCGTCGCAGTCGTTGTCATCAGAGACCCTTCACATTAGTCAGCCAGATTTAGTGGGACGGCATTTACGAGCTGCCGCTGGTGCTGCTGGTGCTGCTGTTGCGGCTGATGCTGCTGCGTCTGTTGTCCAGTGTGTCTCCATTTGATTAAAATTCATTAATTATATTTTCACAGTGGTGCTAACAAAAATGAAAGTTTTTCAGCCAATGCCGCCTGCACACAAAACTAAAAATAAAGCAACTTTGGCTTTGGCTTTGACTTTGACTTTGGATTTTGCTTTTTCGCGGCTGTTTTGGCCAGTTTTGGTATTGGTCGCCACATGATGTGATCAGTTGTCGTAGCTTTTTGTGTTCGCTGCTGTTGCTGTTGGCTATTGATATGACCAATTTTAGAGAATGCGTTAACCCTCGCATAGTAAAAGGAAATTCAAATGCCCACACAAGCGACTTTTCCAAATCGGCTCTATTGTTGATTCTTCTTCACGTATTGTTTATTTTATTTGTTTTGTTTGGCATTTTTATACACTTCCTTAGGGTATTATATTGTTGTCATTAAAGAATCTATTTTGGAACTCACAAACACAAATATATATCTTCCAAATAAAAATCAGCTGCAAATCAGCTAATTAAAAATAAATCATGCATCGAAAACAGAGTGTAATTAAACTATGCCAACTAAATTAAAACCTTTTTTCTTTTCTTTTTCTTTGGCATTTTTGACTTATTTTAAATATTTTATATTTGATTTTTTTTGGCAGCTTCTGGCAGCAGCGACCGCAGCAGCAGCTGATGTGGAACATGGCGCACAATTTGGCTGGCCAATAAATTAAGATAGTAAACCGAAAGTGTCACGACCACAACGACGACGACGACGACAACGACGACGCCATTAACAAGTAGAACCCGATAAACGTGCTGCACCAGAAAAACGACAGACAATCGAAACAGAATATAAATTGATAAGTGAAATTAGAAATAAAAGTAAAAACAAACCGACGATAACCGGAAATCAGTGGCAACCGCAAAAGCAGTATCAACAAAAGCAACAAGATCAGCAGCTATGTATCGCCCAAATTTCTACGAGTCAACTTGCCTGCGCTGCAGCGAGACCGTCTATCAGGTGGATCGCGTGGGGCCGCTCAAGGATTTCACATTCTTTCATTCCGGTTGCTTTAAGTGCGTACATTGCGGCACCAAGCTGACGCTGAAGACATATTTCAACAATCAACACAAGCAGGACGACAAAGAGGTGAGGTGTACAACGAAAGACTTAGGCGACAAACGTGCAACAACAACATAAAATATTTGCACAGCTGCCACTTTTTGCATACAACAACGTGCATGCATAATAATAAATAACTTTGTTGTTGCACTTAGCCAAATGTGTGTCACTGCGGTCTATCACATGGTCGCATACGTACACAGCTATAGCTATATAAATATATATCTTAATATTTATATACACAGCTTGACAGGCGGCCACCTGCTGTGAGTAGGTGAAGCGGTTGCTTGAAAATCGTACTGGGCCAATAAACGTAACGTTCGTCTGACAGTTTATAAAGTATACAGTTTTAAGATACGCAAGAATATATGATAAGAATGTATTACAATGACTGCATTAAGAAAATGACTTTGAGCCAAAGAAAACTCAAATCTAGAATTAACTTTAAAACTTGCTGCTATTTGTGTTAATTCAATGATTTACTTGTAAAATTACCTCACATACGACTTGTCTATTTAAGTCAATAATTAATAATTTTCAAACCGGCATTTACAAAATGAATCCATAAATCAGATGACGAAATTAATACTTGATATTTTATCTGCCGTTCGACCATTTTGGGCAATATTGCCAAGCTTTTAACATGCTCATTTCATCAATAGATATGCATACATAGATTTACAACTCGAGCACACATTTTTCTAATTATTTCTCATTTAATTTGAGTCCCATTTGATTTGAGATACTTGAAATTGGAACTGCCCTTAGACCATTTTGAGCAATATGTCCTTGGTTACTTTTTCAAAATCAAATCTCACATTATACAGTTTGATTTCGTATATAAATTTAAAGTCTTTATATGCATATTACTACGTCAGAATAAATGTTAGGATATTTAAAGAAAAGTACCCTGGTTTCCTGATTTATTTAAGCCCAATTTGATTTATGAATTCAGCTCCCAATTTTTACGCCTGAACTCTAAATTATTAAGCCCATTTTGGGGCATTAGCCCAATTGCTTTATATGGTCACATCATCAGATCATTACAAAAATAAAATACTACCTTTTATAGAGATTTCTCTAAACCTATGCGTAACCAAAGCGAGATTTAACGCAAAGATTATTTAACAATATGCGTAATAAACATTTCTGGCTAATCTATCTGTACAAATCAGCTGCCCCAAAGCAATCTTCAATATACAATCTAATTGCAAGCAGGTCTTACGACAAAGGCAACATTTCATCATGATAATGGCTTGGGCTTTGCTTTTTTCTCTTTGTTGATTATTGTATCGTAGGTTTTGATGTGTAATGTCTGTTTGTTTGTGGCTGGCTCAATTGCAGGTCTATTGCAGTTCACATGTACCAAAGAGCGGACCCGGCCATCTGGACCAGACATCGGTGGGCATACGTCAGGCCTTGAACGCGCCGCGGACCAACAAATTTGTGAACGAGCAAATACGCGGCACCCGCACCGAGATCGATGGTGAGTATGTCAGATGCCTAAACTGGCTGTATCCATCTCTTGCTAACAATATTAAACAATGTGAGCGTGTGTATGTGCACTGCAGGTGGCTTGGGCTCACGCCAATCAACGCCCAATGGCTATGGGGGCCGGGAGGAGGTGAGCTCGCCATCCCAAAACGATTCCAACTACAAATATGGACGCTTCGATGCGAGCGCTTTGCATATTGCACATGCGCTCAAGCAAACTGAAATCCAAAAGGCTTACAATAAGGCGCGCGAGAAGCCAATTGATTTCTACCTGGTAAGTCTGCGATTTAAAAAGCCTCCCTCTTCCCCTCCTTATATACATCTATATTCTAACTGACTGACAAGTGGCCGCAAATTAAGAAATTATTTAGTGCAGAACATCTAATGAAATTTAACTGCTCGCTCGCTCGCTGTTGCTGCTGCTGCTGGCCAGCAATCATTGTTACAGTCGTTTATAGCGGGTTGGCAAACACTCACACACACACACACACACTGAGGCATGCACAGCTAGTGGTAGACTTTACCCAGTTGTGTCTTGTAAACAAACGGTTGTGCAATGCTCCGTCAGTCGCCGTTTTGCCTTCTTCGTCTCCGTCTCCATCGCCATCGCCATCTCCGTCTCCGTCTCCATCTACGCTTGTTATGTCCGCCTTGCGTTGATCCGATTCGAGTAGCTAGTTGAGTTGGGGGGTATTTAATTAATGCAATGGCAGGCAAAGTCATGATTATGTAGGCTAGTGTGCTATTTGCACTTGTGCAGTCAAGTTTCTTGCCTAAGTCTTTTGTTTTGATGGGCCACTTGAGCAACTAAGAATAGCCAAGATAAAAATAAGTTAGAAAATACAGCAATTAAAAGCAGCATAAAGGTTTAGTAATATCTGAATACATATATATTGAAACCATCTACAACAAATGATTCGATTTGCCGGATATAAAATTGAACTGGCCAGGAGAGTCCGGCTATTAAGTAGTCGATTTTCCGTTGGTTTTTCTGTTTTCTCCATCGAATATTAAAATGCATTTTATTTGTGCAAAGTGCATTTAAATGCAGCAACTAGCGCCAAGTTATGCGGCATCTCGATTACAATTTATAGCTATCTGCACCATTTATCGGCGAGTGCAGGCAGCAGTCAGTTGGATATCTATGTGCATATATGTATGTATTTATGTATCTGTAGCAGATCTCTGCCGCATGACTTGCCACTTGTAATTTCTTGACGCTGCAAATCTGGCTAATCTGCATGACGGTGAAAGCATTATAATCGCATTTTACGTAAAATCCGATTTCAAAAAAACGAAATTAAAATCGCACAAGTTATCTTTCATTTCTTGTTGGCTTTTACGCGCGTGTGTGTGTGTGTTTGATCTGTTCGCTTGCTGGTGCTAGTATGTTGTATGGCACCAAACAGTTTTTCTTTCACTTTCGAGAATGCCACACGCGAGTGAGCAGCAGCAACAACTCCTAACAGCAGTAGTGGCAGCCGCATATTACTGCAACGCTCAATTTAACAAATTTCGAACAGGTGTTTGATAGCATTGTTGTTGCTACACCGCAAAAGCCACAAAAAACACTCACACACACACATAACAAGAAAAAACGCCGTCTCGTCGTCTAATAGAAAATATGTGAAAAATTGCATGCATGCAATCATTAAAAATTTTGCATGTTTACAACTGCCACGCACACACTTACACACACCCACCAATAACAATAAAAACAACCACAAGCAGCCACAATTACCAGCGAAAAAAAAACCAACAACAGACACTCTGCAAGTTCATTTGAATCAGGTTTAGCACAGCGCACTCAATATTTTGGCCAGCAGTGTGCGGCTATCTGTCTGTGCTCGGCAGCATAGATTTCCATATACGGATATCTGTGTGCGTCGCCGTCACTTGTTTTTCCGGCTGCACCATAGCGACGTTAACGTTAACGTCAAAGTCGCCGTCGCCGTCGCCGTCGACGCTGCACTGTTTGCTAAATCCAAATTATGCGCACCAGAGTGAAAGTAACGGCAACGTTGCGACGCCTCGAATTTGCTTCATCATTCAGCTGACAGCGACACGGTGGCCGCAGCGCAGTTGGCAGCGTCATTCTTTTGCACTCTCTTTTACGCTCTCTCTCTCTCTCTCTCTCTCGCGCTCTCTCTCTCTCTCTCTCTCTCTCTGTCTGTCTGGCTCTTTCATTGGCCCTTATGCAATGCACGCGCTTTTTAAGCGCACCATATAATTGTTGTTATATTATCGCAAACACTTCCTCATGCCGCCTAGCTCTGAGCTTTTTGCGCACTTTTGTTGTTGGAATGCGTCTGTGGCCAAATTTACAGTTGATATGCATGTGAAATTGTTCATACATATTTGTATTTGTACAATTTGGTTTGGCTTTTGGTTTTGTATAAGCAGCTTGCGCAATAATTAATTTCGACGCTTTTGGTTGGACTTTCGATTTCATTTTGGTAATTTTTTCGGTCGCTGCTGTTATTCTTGTTGCTTTTGTTGTTGCTTTTGTCACCGTGGGCGCCATAACCGTTGTTGCTCTCAATTTTGATTTTTTGCCGCTCTAAGCCGCTCACGCAATTTGTTGTGTCCATTGTCCATTGTCAACGGTGCTATGAACCATTTATTGTTATTGTTGCTACTGCTGCTGCTGCTGGTTATTACTCTTTTTCACGCATATATATTTGTTGGTTTTTGTTTTAAAGTTATTGTTTTGAACTTGACATTGAATTTTGGTTTTAATTGCATATTGTTATTGTCTATATGTCGTAGCTATTAATGTATATTGCGTGCGTGCGTGTGTGTGTGTGTGTGTGTGGCGCTAAATGCTTCGAAATTCCCATGCGGAAGCATTAATTAAAGCGGACCACATCTAATTTGTTTAATACCGTATTATTTGCCAGACATATGGCCATGGAAGTGGAATGCAGCATGCAACTGCACTCCACTGTAATTATGAACAAAAGCCAACTAATTGAATATTATGCGGTTTGAAGCAAGCAACAACAGAATTGGCTAATTGCGAGGAGACACTAGCCAATTATGTAAAATATCCAAGGGTGATTCTTGAGTAAGAGCGAGTTTTTTTTAATAGTTAATGTTTATTTATTTACTTGGATTAAAAATAGTAATCTTTAAAAAATACAAATTTTAATTTAAAGTAAAAAATGTAAATATAAACAATTCAAAATGAGAATTTTAAGTACAAATTAAAATTAAGTAATACAAATTATGCATTTTCAATATGATTTAATAATATTCTTTAAAAATATATTGCTCAAGAACGATTTCAATATCTGGATGTCCCACTTCGCGAGCAACTACTATAAAATAATCCATTGATTATGAGACGAATAAATCGATTCTTGAACAGATATATCTTTTTGGCTTATAGAAATCACTAGCAAATAATTTGTAAAAACGCATCGGCTGCTTGAAAATTCAGTGCGCATCTCAAAGATTCGCAAAGATTCCATAAGGCTACCGGTTCCATAGGCTAGCGGTTCCACTTATCGGGAGGCGAACGCAATGCGTGACCACAGCATAATTTGGGGAGGGGTTTTGGGCTGGGGCTGAGGATGAGTCTGTGGCTAGGGTGTGGGATAGAGCAGAGGAGTGCGGATGGTTTTCGACTGCAGATAATGTCAGATATTTTACCAAGCATCGCAGCTGAAGCGTGGCATTATAATTAGCCAAGTTAACAAGCCAAGCATTGCAAAAGCCGCAACGAAAATGCAACTGCAACAAAGTTAAATACAACTATAAAACACCGATACAAATTTGAGCGATTTCTCTTTTCTGCTGCTATATTTCATCTATTGTTTTTTCTGACTGCTTGTTACAGGCTCGCGAGGAGCAGGCCCACCTTGAGATGAAGCACCGCAAGGAGGAGGATGATCTGTATCGGAAGTTTGCGCGCAAACGCGAGGAGGAGGATCGCAAAATACAGAACGAGTTCCAAGATGAATGGGAGCGCGAACTGCAGCGGTTAACGCACAAGTTCGAAAAGGAGCTAGCCACATCGCGTCGCAATCGGGACGAGGCAAACGTCCTCACGCTGCGCCACGAGCAGCAGAAGGAGGACCTCGAGAAGAACATGACGCTGCGGCGCAGCAAGAAAAAGGAGAGCATTACACGGAAAATGCTCGAGCACGAACGCTACGAGACGGCTGCACTTGTGGATCGCCAGTCCAGCGAGATGCTGGAGTTGATCAGCGCCCGTCGTTCCGAGTACATGCAGAGCGAGAGCATCTTTCTGGACGATGAGTTCAGTGAGGGCGCAGTGCCCGTTGAGTATCCATTGAATGCTCCAGTGCCTGCACCGCCGGCGGTTAGCAAGTTTCAAATCTACACGGATCCCATTGAGTTCGAGGATGTCGATCGCATTGCCATCTCGGTGGCGCAGGAGGATCAGAAGACCTTCACCGATCTGGTGCGCCAGCTGGTGGGTCGCTGTACCACCGATATCGAGAAGGCGCGCACCATTTTCCGCTGGATCACGGTCAAGAATTTGAATGCCATGCACTTCGACGATGATCTGCGCGGCGACACGCCCATGGGACTCCTGCGTGGCATCAAATACGGCACGGAGAGCTATCACGTTCTCTTCAAGCGCCTGTGCAGCTATGCAGGTCTCCACTGTGTCGTCATCAAGGGCTATTCGAAGAGCGCCGGCTACCAGCCGGGCGTCAAATTCCAGGACTCGCGTTTCCGCAACTCCTGGAATGCCGTTTACGTGGCAGGTGCCTGGCGCTTCGTTCAGTGCAATTGGGGTGCACGTCATCTTGTCAACGCCAAGGAGGCGCCCAAACAGGGACGCGGCAAGAACGACAGCCTGCGGTAAGTCCAGCAGAGAGCATTTCTTGTAACCTCATCAATGAATTCGTAGTTCAGAAAGCATTTCAATTATCATTTACCTACAACGCCCCTAATCCCTATGAATATTTCTAGGTATGAGTATGATGATCATTACTTTCTCACCGATCCGCGTGAGTTCATCTACGAGTTCTATCCGCTGCAGGAGGAGTGGCAGCTGCTGAAGCGTCCCATCACGTTGCGTGAATTTGAGAATCTGCCCTTTGTGCGCTCGCTATTCTTTCGCTATGGACTCCACTTTGCGGATGAGGGCTATGGCGCCGTGGTCTTTACGGATGATACGGGCGCTGCGACGGTGCGCATTGCGATGCCAACGGACATGCAGAGCTGCCTGATATTCCACTATAACCTCAAGTTTTACGACAGCGAGGAGGAACTGTCTTACGATGGTGTCTCCTTAAAACGCTTCGTCATGCAGTCGGTGATTGGCAATATTGTTGCGTTCCGCGTCCATGCACCCTGCTCGGGTGCCTTCCTTCTGGACATATTCGCCAATGCGGTCACTCCACAAGAGTATCTCACGGGCGAGCCCATGAAGTTCAAGTCCGTTTGCAAGTTTAAGGTGAGCCTCAAACCTCAAATCCAATTTTATTCCACTCTTAACTCTTGACTTGCTTTTAGATCTGCTGCGAGGAACTGCAGACGGTAATGGTGCCGCTGCCGGACTGCGCCAGCGGTGAATGGGGTCCCACCAAGGCCACGCGTTTGTTTGGACTCATACCCATAACACATCAGGTGGGTTGGCTTCAGATTAAATCAATTCCAGCTCTTAATTCTCTCCCGCTTGCAGGATCCATTGATATTCGCCGGGCGTAGCTTGGATCTACAGTTCCGCATGTCGCGACCGTTGACAGACTTTATGGCCACGCTACACAAGAACGGAATCGAGGAGAAGAAGCTCGCCAAATATGTTACACACAGCACACTAGATGACATTGTCACGTTCATCATTAAGTGAGTGTCCGAGCGATGGCTTCCGATATTGCATCTCGCATTTCGCATATTGTTTAATCTTCTTTCCCCTTTGCAGTTTTCCGGAGGAGGGTCAGTATGGTTTGGATATATATACGCGAGAGCTGGGTGCGCCGCAGCATCATCATCATCACAATAACAACAATAACAATAATAATTCCTCCCCATCATCTGGCGAGAAGCATTTGCTGACGCACTGCTGTAAATATTTAATCAACTCGTCCAAACGCAATTGAGCTCAGCTGCCACTTGAATCTGCGTGTGTTATGAATTTGTTGGCAAACAAAATGCAATATTAATTGATAGTCTAGATGATAAGCAGATACTAAAACATACATAAATATGTGCAGGTGCTAAGGGGTATGCCCTTGAAAAGCACCCACTTACATATATATATATATCTATATATATATATATCATGCTCAATCATTTGTTAATCCACACAGGCTTCTGGCTTCATCATATATATATATCTTTATATACATATATAATCTTATGTTAACAAATTGGCAGCTATTATCGCATCGAATTGAAACATGTAAATACTCTAGACTCTAATCATTAGTCCTTAAATATGCCTAGTAATACCTGAAAGATCCAATTTTAAATACGTGTTGTACTTATTATTAATGCCTAATAATTTATTATGAATGAAACGTATGTCTCTAATACACAAGCTTATATTACATTAAATCTAGTTTTGGACTAGGTGTCCAATTTTTTTTTATGACAATCACCTGTAATTTAACACTACGGTAACGTAAATCAACAAGAGGGTGCTCCTTGCGAGCCTAGCGCACGGTGCTCGTTGAAAATATGCAATTTAATTCTAGTTTTCAGAGAGGATATCAAGATATACACATTCCTGTTGACTAGAGATAGGTCTATCGATTTGCATATATTTTCAGGATTTCGTCAATTGAACAATGATGCAAAAAAGCATTTGATATAGTAGGTTCTCCTCCTAAAAGTATGCTTTAATTCTTAAAGGTTGTTTCGAACTGCTTACCACTGATTTTATTTGCCGCCAAAAAGTAGGCTTTTAATTGGCTAATTAATGAGTTTTAACCCAATTTACCATTGAAGTTGCATTTATTGTTCTTATAAATCGTCCAAAAAGTAACACATCAAATCTAGTTACTTTTCAAGAACCTTCGATAAACTACTATAATTTAATATAATTAAAAGAATTATTTTATCGGAATTCTGAAACGAATTTATTAGGCATTGGGTATCGGATGAAAGTAAATGCTGCTATTCGTAAATGCTGCTAAAGAGGTGTCGATTCCGCGCAATTCATCCACCCAATTTAAATATCATAAAAAGTTTCAGGGTTCGGGTAATTAATGGTCTTCCTCGTCTGTAGCGAGGTCAATGCAGATAGGTGAAACTTGAGGATTTTCTTCAGGTTCTATCTTTGGTATGAAGCTGGCCTGTGGTTTTTCTTCCGCCCTAGAAGTCGATGGTTTAACAACAGGAGTTTTTTCCGGGCTACGAGACGCGATTGGAGTCGATCGCTTAGCACTGGCAGTTTTTTCTGGGCTCCGAGACGCGATTGGAGTCGAGTGCTTGGCAGTCGGGGTATGTTTTGAGCCACGTTTAGAGATTAAAGTTGATGGCTTGGCACTTGGTGTATTTTTTGGGCCACGTTTGGACATCGGTGACGATGACTTGGCACTGGGGGTATTCCTTCGGTCACGTTTGGACATCGGTGACGATGACTTGGCACTGGGGGTATTCCTTCGGCCACGTTTGGAAATCGGAGACGATGGCTTGGCGCTGGGGCTATTCCTTCGGCCACGTTTGGAGATCGGAGACGATGAATTGACACTGATGGGATTCCTTGGCACACGATTGGCTAAAGGCTTCGGTGGTGGCTTTTTGCCATCTCGCCTTAAGCCCCGCACAGGAACTGTGCCATATCGGTAGAAGATTGAATGATCATTAGCGGCTATGTCGGCGGCACTTTCCTTATCAATGCCAAGGACTAGCACAGCGCCGCCGCCATGATCTTTGCGCGAGGCCAGCTTCCACAGGTTGGTGTTATATTGATTCTGAGACTTAAGCAAGCTGAGAAGAAATTCGTCAGATTTGCCAGCGCTGCATGGCAAGAAAATGCTAATAAAAATCTTCTGTCCAGGAGCTTTTACACTGCCCAACTTAGCCTCAACGGGTCGCCCATTGTATGAGTAAAGGCGCGACCCGGTTTGAAGTAGCCAGTCTGCGGCGACCTGGTTGGCGCAGTTCACCTTCAAGAAACCCGGCTTGAAACTGATGTTTGAGAAGCGCAAAGGAGCGGCAGTCTGTGGGCCCGCCATTACCACCTCGTGGAGAATGGCCTCCTGAAGATCCAATTTATCTTGATGGGTGAGGCTCTCATTTGGATATCCTACTGGCACAAGGCATACCGTCAGCTCGTTTCGATCCCCAATTCTTTCACCTTCATTCATGGGCGCCAAAGGTTCATTGTTTTGGATAAATTCATCATCATCGGGATTATCCCTGGATGGCATTGGCTCGCGCATCGGTGCTTCTAGTGCTAGTTTGTAACTAGCAGCTGGTTGAGTGGGCTCTTTGGCCATGCAGAGGGCTTCATCGTGAGAAAAGCCCTTCTTTCTATAGCGTGTATACCACTTCATGCGTGAGCCGCTTAGGCGCCATGAGCCAATGCCAGGTCGAGGTCCAGGGCTTGGACCTCGCCTGTACGGTGGTGAGCCTCGACGCGAGTCTCGCCCCAGGATATTCGGTCTGGATGGATTCAATGGGCTACGGCTACGACTACGACTACGACTACGACGACCTCGAGACCCTCTCTCTGGACTGCGACTAAGTTGACACCGATAGAAGTCGAGCGGTCGTTCAGGGCTGCGACTCGGTGGCCCATGCAGTTGGCCCGTCGATCTCTCGAGGCTGAGATTTAACTGGAATTCGCGACCCATTTCCGGGCTGCGATTGAACTGCAAGCCCGGTCCTCTATTCGGGCTACGATTCGGCGGACCTGGCAGGAGGTTCGGCGTTGTCTCCAGGCTATTATTCAACTGGAATCCTCGACCTCTCTCCGGGCTGTTATTCAACGGGAATCCCCAACCTCTCTGCGGGCTGTGATTTAAGTGAAAGCCCGGTTCTCTATTCGGGCTGCAATTGAATTGAAAGCCCGGTCCCTTAACCGGGCTGCGATTCAATTGCAATCTCGATCCTCTATCCGGACTGCCTTTGAACGGTTCTACATCCGACTGTGCTGTTGGTCCTGCTCCCAATCCACCACGATTGAACGGACCTTGATTAAAGAGCGGCTCTCCAATCGGCATCAGCAAGCAATTATTCGGGGTTTGAAGCAATGGTCGCGGGGCCCCATTTAGCATGCCTCGACCCTGATCTCGAAGGAACATGGGTTGGTTTTTCAACTGGCGCTGCTTCTGAGGGAATCGCGGCATTGAGCCCCACTTTTGCGCATTCGGAGGTTGCCCTGTAAAATCGTTGCTAATTGGGGGCATATTCCTCATTGTATTAAATTGTCCAGCATTGCCGAGGACATTCATTGGTATTTGGTTTTCATTTGATTTGTTTATGTTGTTTGGTTTAAAGTTTCTGATATTCATTTCGATTCCCACGAGTTGCGGAGAAATATAAAAGTCCGCCCGGGCAGAGATCCGCCATGCCCGGGTAAGGCTATTTACAACAGGCGGTCGCCACTTGCCTGAGTTCACCGTTCGCGACTGAACTATTTGTTGATCCGGGCCTTCAGCCTGGCCGACTCTCGGCACGGTCCGAATAACACCTTAGTCCGGCCCGGAGTGAGATGTGGAATATGTGTTGTGGTGGATGTGCGTGTGCGTGTGTGGGACTATGCTTTTGCAGGCGGCCCCACAAGCGCCTGGTCAATAAGGCGGTTGGCAGGCAGCCTCCTTATCCGCTGGCTGTCCGGGGCTGCATCTTAGCAGCGCAGCTAACCTTCCCCGCGCCCACATGATGGGGTTGGTGGGGGTGGGGCAGGCCGTTCGCCATCCGCAACCTGCGACCCGTCCGGTGGCCCCAGCTAGGCCCCCGGTCCGAATCATCTCACATAGTTCGGACCAGACCGGAAACGAGATAAATTCCGTGTTTATTTATACTTTATTTGTTCATGCTCCTTATTCATGTAAATATATATGTAGTTTTTTGACAGGCTGGTGGGGGAGGGGAGGGGGCTGTGGGGGTGAAAAGGGCCACAATTTTAATATATATGTATGTAGCTGGGGCATTTTTAAAGGTAGAATTTACTTAAACTTACACAAGAAATATTATATTATTACGTTCTATATATTGGGGGACTCATAATCAGTTGCTTTTGCTTTTTAGTTGTTTCTTTTTGTTTTCTTGTTTAGTAAATTTTAAAGTTAATTGTGAAGGCAGCTTAGCACATCGATGGCTCTTCTTTTGCTCCAGCTTCTCCATCTATTTGTTGGTGGTTGTTGTTGTCACTGCTGCCCACTCAAATGTTTCGTCTGCCATTCTCGTGCACACTGCAAAGTAGAAGGGAAGTGGAAAAAGCGTTTATGCACAGGCATAATTAATTTAGTTGTCTACACTGAGCAGCAGAGAGTCAGTCATAAATCAAAAATAAAAACATAATACAGAAGTCGCTCGTAAAATGAATCGAATATTGGAATTAAAATGTACGTTCTTTTTTTTTTTTTTTTAAAGATACAAATTTTGTGTATTTAAATTTTCATGAATTTCTATAGACAAGATCCCTTTAGATGCACAAGTTCTCAAATTGAATTTCCGAGCATGCAATCTGTACAATAATATGGGAGTAAACTAAAATGATGGATAAACGCGTTGATGGAGGAGGGATTGGGAGAATGAGAGTGGTAGGACGTGGGATGTTGAATGAACCGAGACACGAGTTTAGTACAAGAGTATTTCCAATGTTGTAGAGCTGTTGTTATCATTGTTGTTAGTGGCACCACCGTTAAGAAATAATGAAGAGCACAATGCGCGCCGTTAGGAGACAAGGGATTTATTGTTATTAACAAAGACCAAACAACAAAATCACTAGTCTTCCATACGGAATGCATTTAAACCGATAGTTAGTTTCAGGCATTGATTGATTGATGATGATTTGCAGAAAAGTTTGATTTGATTTGACATGCGACAGATACGCTAAACGATTTGCACTTTTGGGTTAAGTTGTGTGTTTAGTTTAATGAGGGATGGTTTTTTTTTTGTAAGTCATATGAAAGGAGATTTGTGCATACTTTTAGTCTGTTTGCGACACCAACCTCTGTTGCAGCAGATACTGGGCCATTTGTATTTGCTTGGGTGTGCCCGAGATGGTGATGATTCGGTCATTCGAACCGGGCAGAGGCTCATCAATGGTTATATACGCACTCGACTCGTTTCGAATGCGACGAATGCGGCCGCCGCCTTTGCCAATGATGGCGCCAGCCAGCTACAAGATTGGAATAGAAGAGGGGAAAACCAAATGAATAACCATCTTCTAATCATCTATTCAGCTTTTACTCACATCCTTGGGAATGGTGACTTGTGTGCTGTTGTTGGGATCATGACCCTGGGGTATGTTGGATGACGCGTTCGTGCTATTATTTGAACCGCTGTTGCCGCCACCGGCATTGAAGCCGCCGGAACCATTGTTAGCACCTAGTCCACCAACGCCGCCATTGTTCACTGAGCCGAGACCGTTGCCCAGGCTATTGTTGCCGGCACCAAATCCAGCGCCCAGACCATTGCCCAAACTGTTGTTGCCGGCTCCGAAGCCAGCACCGCCGCTGTTGCTGCCTTGGCTCTGTCCAAAGTTCCCCAGACTGGGCAGATTGCTGGTGCCGCCGCCACCGCCAAGCTGGTTACCGCCTCCAAAATCGTTGGGGCCACCGCCGAAGCCATTATTGCCAAAGTTGCCACCACCGAATGGGCCACCGCCACCAAAGTTGCTGCCACCGAAACCGCCGCCATTATTGCCAACGCCGAAGCCGTCTCCGTCGCCACCACCGCCATTGGCCCATGGATTAATGAAGGGATTGTCGCGTGGTCCGCCCATGCCACCGAGGCCGGTGGCACCACCACCTGCGCCACCGCCACCTCCGCGACCGCCACCAAAACGATCATTGCCACGACCACCATTGCCGCCGCCTCCAAACCCACCACCACCTCCGCCGCCGCCGCCGCCTCCACCACCAGCACCACCGCCGCCGCCTCCTCCTCCGCTGCCGCCGCCGCCATTGCCGCGACTGTTGCCACGCTGGCTGGGACGGGTGCTGCCGGTGCCGGTGCCATAGCCGCCATACTCATCCGCATAGACTCGATCGAAGTTCATCGGATCATAGTTGTGTATGGGCCCCTTGATGGGCGTGTCCCTGGTCAGCGTAATCACCTCACGCACAGCATCGATGACCTGCGTCTGCTTGCCAACCGTCTGCACCACGCGATCTGTGCTCTGCGGCGCCACATTTGAGAAGACCTTCAAGAACCGACAGCCAATGCGCTGCAAAGAAATTGAGATATTTATGGATTAGATATTTAAGTCAAGCAATTCAAATTGTAAATAAAGACTCGTTGAAAAAGTTAAATAAATCTATAAGAAAACCCAAATTTTACCCTTTAAAGCGTTTTTTAAATAGTTAATACGAAATATCTGATGTGAAAACTTATGTTAAACAGCGCAGAGACCATGTTATGCCTTCAAGTGTTTTTTATTATTGTTTTTATTATTATTATTTTCTATAGAAATCTTTTCAGGATTTCACATTTCAATTAATAAATTTTCAACTGTTTCAGAGAATATTATAATTATTCCACGAAACGAGGCGTTATAATTTCCTAGCGAATAATATGCGATTATTTTCGGTTGAATTCCTTTGCACTTCACTTGTTGTTTATTACATTTCTGGGAATCACAAAGCACACAAACGGTCAAAACACCACCAGTTCAAAGGCCACAGGCCAAGGCCCACAGTCAACTGTCATGGTTACTCAAGCAGCTAAAATGGCAGGCAGGCTGGCTGGCTGGCTGGCTGGCTGACAGAGGCCGTCGGTGGTTGGTCAAAAGCAGCTGCTGCTTTATCCTTTATCCCAACAGTTTAAATCAATTTTGGCCATGGCACTGACCCAGCCAAACGCATAGCAAGCGACGGCTTATGACACGACCCTATCAAAAGAGACTCGACAGCAACCTTTTCATAATCATGATGGTGATGATGATGATGATCCTATTCAGCTGCGCTGTGTGCATTGAAAACGCTGCCACTGACAGGATGCAGGCACTTCTTCTCTACCTGCCTGGCGGCACAGTTTTTGAGCAGCTGCTGCTATTGCTGCTCCCAATTGTGCATATAAAGCAGAGTCCTGTACCGGAAGTTGGGCCCCGTCGCCGTCTTCACTCTAAATGCGTTGTCATCGTCTGCAGCGGAAGTGTAAATGTGAAATTCGATAGCCACTTAGGAATGCATGCCTCAAGTGAGGGGAGACACAAACACAAACACTCAGATTTTGGTGCCTACGTGCATTGGAGCCTGCTTCCGTTTACCTCCTGCACAAAATTTCCCCCTCGAGTCTCCCTTCGTCGCACAGCTGCACGTTTTCTCTGTGTGTGTCCTGCGGCATGCCTGCTAGGCTAACTAACTGACTGACTGAATGACTGGTCTGATGATTGCATCATTTCCAACAGCCTAAAATGCTCAGCCACAAGCAAATTGCGTGCTACCCTCCGCTTAACTGTATCTGTATCTGTACTGAAAGCGTGTGTGTGTGTGTGAGTGTGCGTGTGTGTGTGTTTGTGTTTGTAAATGACCAAGGGCTGCGTCATGCTGCTAACACTCGAGCACCGCTGCTCCCACTTGCCCCCTCCCTCCACGCTAAGCACTCTCTCCCTTGGCGACACACAACTCGTTGCGTGCGACCCCCAGACAACAATGGCGACACACCAAAAAAATAAAATGTTAGCTGCTGTAGCTGAAGTGCTCGGGGCGCCCCACGTTGTGCCTTATGAATGGCAGGCGCAAAAATGTTGAGTCACACACACATACACACTTATAGCTTGTCTCCGCTGAGAGAGGAGTGCGGGGGAGGTGGACGGGGGGATTCAGCTTTTATGTCACAATATAAAACATCAAAAGGCAGCGAGTGGACTGGACACTCATTGAATTTATTATTTAATTTAAAGCACAACAACAAGCATAAGGCTCGCAGCAGTTTGTGTGTGTATGTTTGTGTGTGTGTGTGTGTGTGTGAGAGGGTGTGCGCGCGAGACTGTGACACATATACATTTACATATCTGTATACAAAAGTGTAGCATTCTTTTTGGTGGTCGCACAAATAAAATACAAAACTGTTAATGCGAGCAGCAGCAGAAGCAGCACCAGCAGCAAAAAAAACTTGTATGTATGTGTGCGAGGTGATATACTTATGTGTGTGTGTGTATTTGTGTGTGTATGTCATGTCAGAACAAGCATCGCACACACAAGCAAAAATTACACTATATATTAATGTTTTTAGCATTTCAGTTAGTTGATGGCGTTTTTTATTTTTTGGTTGTACCTTTTCACTTTTTGTTTATCTTATGTATATATATATATATATATATATATATATATTCAGTTTATATATGTATATATACACATACAGTTTCGAGTCACTTGAATAACTGTTTGGTTTTAAAATTGTTTATGCGCCTGAAAACAGGAGCAACTCTGACGCAGAAGCGGCAGGAGCGCAGCACGTATAACCGTTCACGACCAGCGCCAATGTCGAACTAATTGGGTTCAACGAATGCCAGTTGCCATGTAAGGAGAAGACGCAGCCAGCCGACAGCAGCGAGGAGAGCAGAGAGAACACAAAAAAATAACAACAACAACTGAGAGCAGAGAGAGGATAGCAGAGCAGAGGACAGCAGCAGAGGCAGCAGCAGCAGCAGTCAGCATGTGCGCGCCTTGCCTTGTAGTTATTTGTGTTTGTTGTTGTTGGCGACTGTAGGCAGTCGGGCAGTCCGTCAGTCAGTCAGACGACTCGAAAGGATACGCAGGCAGTCAGCCATTGAGGATAACACAGCAACAGAGGCTGCTGCTGCTGCTGTTGTTGTTGAGGCGCAGCTGCTGAAGGAAACCGGTGTATTATTCAGCTTCTTTTGCTCACATTTTCTTTTTTTTTTTTTGTTACTCTCCCTGTGTGTTGTGTGTGTGTGTTAGCGCATGCGCAGGACCTTTGCAGCAATTAAATAGGCACACACACACACACACACACCGCGATATAGATGTAGCCATTTCAAATGAAACGTAATCATTGCTGCCATCTAATTATTAATTTTTATACATTCCGTCTTGCATCTGGTTCTTTAGCTACTTTGATTCCTCTTTACGTTGTTGACTTTGCTACGCAAAAATTCTAAGCGGCTTTTTCTACACACACACGCACACTCGCACAATATGCAAAACTATGCAAAGGCAGCTGCTGCTGCTGCTGCTATTGGTGCTCCTTGAAGAGCTGCTCTTATATCCTTAAAGCAGCGGCATTAGATTGCAGCATCACTTGTGCCACAGAGGCTGTGGCACAAATAATACTCTTTTAATGCAAGGAAGATTGCCTGTAATTGAGTTTTTACCAGCACTTTTTTTACCCAGTCACTTACACACACTCGCACACACACACCAGTCTGTGAGCATCCTTAAAATCAAAGAGCATATGCAATTATAAAACTTTTGGCCCCAAGGCAACACAGCACAGCAGCAGAAATGAGCTGTCAGGCTGGGCTGGCTGGCTGGCAGGCTGGCAGGCAACACTTGAAACAAAGCGGAAGCAGCGTAACAACATTTAAGTTGATGCCACAAACAAGCGAGAAGTGAACATTAAACCGGATATTGAGAAGAGGCAAAACGCGACAACTAGAGCAAAAGGAGCAAGAGGAGCAAGAGGAGCACGCGGAGGATGAGTAAGGGAGCTGTCAACGGCAGCTGGTATGTGTGTGTGTCACAAAATAAGTTTCATAAACATATTAATCAATTGATCAAAGAGACAGCGGAGATCAAGTTGAATTGGCATAAACGAATACAACAAAAAAGCAATAAAAAACTGGTTTGCTTGTCAACCCAACTATTGCATACGTTACATATAATTAAGTAACTATTATTAATGTGCAAGTTCTTTTTAAGTTTTGTGAACAAAAAATGTTTCGCAAGAGATTTAACCAATATATTTATGACAAATGTCACATAACTTTTAACAAACGCATACCTGGACTATCTGCTAGGTATATTGAATCGGTTATTAAATATATAAAGTTCCTCTTCAATATATAATTATAATATGCTCTGCACACCCGTAACAAGAAGTAGAGCAACAATTTGAGCAGCTTGTAAGTAAATGCCAACGAACAGATGCCAATGCTTAAGAAGTTGTTGTGCAAGTCTCAGCTGCCGATGTGCGCGTATGTGTGTGTGTGTTGTGTGTGTGCTTGTAGCACCTGTTAGACATTCATTAAGTGCTGCCATCAGGCTGCCACAGCAACAGGAACAACAACCGATACCTAAGCGCAGCAACAATTGTAAGCCGCAGGCAAACAGCCGCCTCCGGGACAAGGGGAGAGGCGAACAAAAGCCATTGGCACGCTGCTCAATTCAGAATGCGCAATGCTCGTTGCGGGCATATAGACATTAGGATTTAGTGGATGGATCAGATGAGCAGCAGCAGCTGCTGCTCATTATTAGCGGCTGGCAGATGCCAACGTCGCCGACGCCGCCACCGCCGCTGCAGCAGCAGCAGCAAAACTCATCAGATGTGGCACAGGACAAAATTTAATGGGCAACAGCTTGAGGAGAAATGACGAGACCGCTGTTCCCCTGTCTACAAAATGGATATATTCCTTTGGATATATGTATGTATTTTTAGGCACACATAGATATGTTGAGACAAATGCGACGGCTGGAAGTGACAAATTTGGCGCTAAACCAAAAATGTGACAAGCAGTGAAGCAGGACGCGTAAAAATTGAGGTATGAGTTCCAAGAAAACTCGCAAATGCTGCTCACTAAACGAGCATTAAAATACTCATAAACTAATATAAAATAGGTTGCAATATCGTAACTTCAAAAGAGCTGAACTGGAATCTAGCCAAGCACAATTTGTAGTTAAAAATCAAGTTAAAATTCAAACCTTTTATCTTCAAACATCAAATTAGCTAATTTCTTACTCTAGAATTTCATAAAGATCTTTATTGCTATATTAAGCCAGGCTAATAAAAGGCTTTGTGAAAACTGGGTGGCAACAATGTCCAAACTACATATGCGATATTAGATGCGCTCGTATCCTTTTACGCTTCAAGGCAAATTCTGTTTAACCTTTTTGCACGGGCATACGAAAAACACGAAAAACTGAATAACCGGCTGTGAAAGCCAAAAACATAAAGTCAAAATGAGCACCAGAAACACGCAAACAGGCAGCCACAAAAAATAGAAGGAAAACAAGAAACGCGAAGCAAGCGAAATAAGGTAAGAGCAAGGTAAGACAGAAGGATAAGAAGGACAAGAGAGGCAAGACGCAAATACCTTTTGAAAGGAATGAAAACAGCTGCTTGCCGGGCCAGTTGGGCCGAAGACAATGAAATAGGGACGAGACAAGACTACCCATTCCAAGAGACACAATATATATTCATGTGCCGACAAACAGAAATAAAACACATGCTGTGGCTGTGAGACAATGCCTTCTGCTGCTGCTGTTGCTGTTGCTCCTCCACTGGTGATGATCATCTGCGCTGACAACAGACACAGAGACACAGACAGTTAACTATGGGCGACGGCAGCTGCAAGGATGCCACCAGGATGTGCCAGATATGCGCGACAAAGCAGAGCCCGGCTGAAGGATGCTGCAAAGCGGGTGAGGACTATAACTATAACTATGACTACGACAACTACAAACAATTTGCAGCAAATGCAAGGAAAGAAATGCTAAAAGAGACATAATAAAATGTGAATGAAAATAAATAAGTAAACGTAACGTTTTCAGTTACTGCAAAGGGACCAAGACGCAGTACGCTAAAGCTGGATGTGTCCTTTTGTTGTCTTGGACTTGTTGACCTCCATGGAGCACTCAAACAGCGAGAAGCAAAATGAAGGTTTACTCTCTAAATGGCTGCAACTTATGTTTGGATATTTTATGTTTTATAAATAAGACAATTTTCAGCGAACGTATTGAATCCGAATATAACAAAATTGTTAAAGGTAAAAGCAAAAAATATATATTTGTATGTAAAAATTATGGTTTCTTCTATATAGCATAGAAGTGTTTCACACAAGTATCAAAGAGAACGTTTCTATCGACAACTGCTAAAAGCCCGCTCTTGCAATCGCATGGCCAGCTAAGACTTTAGCATCAGACCAGCTAAAGATGAATATACTTTACAGGGTATATAGCTACGGATAAGCAGCTTGAGGAAACGGGAGCAGGCAGCACACAAAGCGAATACGACTGGCAGACATTTTTTGCATGCGCTTGAAAGTATGCAATAATAAATTCACGCGCACCTTTTGTGGGACAGAAAAAGGAACGGATGGGATACTTGTATTTGTATGTATATATGTAAGGATGTGTGAGTCAGTAGTAACTGTGTGCGCACAAACACACACACACACACACATTGCCGGGGGGCTGGCAGAGAGTGAAGACAGCACGTCAAAACAAAGATATTCCAATTAAAATGCAGCCACTTGACAGCAACTACTCATTATCAATTAATGAGAGAGACAAGGCAAACACATTTAATGAAAATAGTAGAGATAGTAGAGAAAATGAGGCAAAACTTCTAATTGATTTCTTTGCCTGACCAAGCGCAACTTATATAAGTCTGTGTGCTGTAGCACAATTGTGCAACTGAAAATCGCTTGACATGTGACACATACATACATTCAGACACACCAAGCGTTGCCTGGCTGCCTGCAATTGAACGTGACGTTGATGGCGACAATTGCGTTATGAGAGAGTTCTGACAGAAAAATGTCGCTTTAGCCAGACGCAGATCCTGTGCACTCAAGTGTGTGTGTCTGTGTAGTCAACCGAGAGCCGCTGCTGTTGACAACTAACTGTAACTCCACACACACGCACATACATATGGATAATATGACTAGTAGTGGCTATCGATTGCCTGCCTGCCTGCCTGCGAATTGTGGAGTTGTGGCCCGAGCGAGTAGCCACTTAACGTGTCTGCTGAAGCAGCAATCGAAAACGCAGCCAAACTGACTGTAATTAGCCATTAAACTGTACACCCGTAGTGCTCTATGGCAATTAGTTGCATAACAATTGGCCGATATGCATGGCTAGCTAGTGCAGGACATGTTTCCCCCCCCCCGGCCACATAATTATATGGATGTGGATAGTTGATTAACATTGTACTCACATCGCGTATCTCTTTGATCTTTTGGCCACCCTTGCCAATGACACAACCGGCCAAGCTCTGATGGATTAACAAGCGCACATCGAATTCATCATCGCGCTGCAAAAAAAAAAAAAAAAACACATAAAAATAAGATAAACAATTTATGTATTACATACAATATAAAAACTCAATTGAAGTTCAAATTACACTCACCTCTTCAAAATATTTTAGCATTTCGGTGATGATCTCCAGCGTGGAGTCGATATCCGCCGATATTTGTATGGTGCTGTTGGTGTTCATTGAGATTTTCGATAGATAAAGCGACAAAGGAACAGAGAGAAAGAGAGAGAAGGAGGGGAGAAATGTATGCATAGAAATATATTAATAATACACAAAAAATACATTCATAAGTTTAACTTAAGCGCTAGGCCTGAATTTTAAAATATAGTTAAGAACTAGACATTATATAGATAGATAGGACACAAATTATGGAGAGAGATTTACGAGATAGTCTGAGATTAACGACATGGACTCATTGTTGTTATACTTGTTGTTGTAACCCACATACCACACACATTGAAGGACACACAAGACGCTTGCTGGGCGGGCGGGCAGGAGGAGAATATTTAAGGGCAAAATAAGATATCTAAATATTTCCTATGTAATTTATTGGGTTCTTTTCGGATTGGTTGCGGTTAGTTTTTCCTTTTTTGGGAATGGAGCTTGAGCCAGTGCTGGTTTTTATTTTTTGCTTTTAGTATGTACGAATGATGTTAATGCCGTGCATTGGTTTTTTGTTTGGTTTTTGGCGGTGCAACGATTAGTAGCAAATATTAATATATATTTGTAGAATAAATATAGATCGAAAACGAAAGAGACGCTGTCTGGGAGTAGGTAATGGATTTCGTTAAATATATATGCACAAGACATGTATAAGACGTCACACCTTCAAACAAACACATTCGGTAAGGACTCTAGCACATACAAAAACAACAAATACAGAGCGAGAGAAAAAAAGAGAGATACCGAAAGAGAGAGAGAGAGAGAGAGAGAGAGAGAGAGAGAGATAGAGAACGAGCGAGCGAGCGATTGAGAGACACGCGTCCAGCAGGTACAAGTGTGTGTTCTTGTTGATTTTGAAAGGAATATACATGTATGTATTTCTAGGAACTATGGAAAAATGAATATATAAATGATAAGGTTAACTAACAGACCTAACACTAAGGCTATATGCTACTAAGGCTAATATGGTTTGTTTCACTGTAAGAAGAGATATTTGGTAAGCTTAAACAAGATGAAATATTTGGTATAGTTTTAGATTTTGATGTGGTTTACCGTTCGGGGCCTTGGGAATCGTCCACAGACACAGTGGCTTTATACTGCTCGTTACACATTTGATGGTTGTGGACAACAGACGGGCGGATCGGGCGGGCGATTGAGCGGGCGGGCGGTCGGTCGGGCGGGCGGGCGTACGATTTGTTCAGTTGGGCGCATGGACGATTTTCGATATCGTTTGGTTGATTGGTTTGCCATAGGTATGTTTTTTATTTTTTGGTTTTACATATATATATATATATATATGTATATGTATATATGTATATGTATATATATTATATTATTTTGCATTGTTGTTGTTGCAGTTTGCAGTTGTTGTTTGAGCAGGGAGGAAGAAGAGAGAGAGCGAGAGAGAGAGAGAGAGAGAGAGACACACAAAAACACACGCACGCACACACAGCAGGCACAACCACGCGCAGCAACGCACAACAATGGGAGGGACACGATGGTGGGCCCAGCACGGAATTATATACAATTCATTATATATATATATATATATATGTACATATATGTATGTTGAGAATTATACAGGTTTTATGCATATTATATATATATATATATATATATATATATATATATGGCATATTTTTTGCGACACGAGGGCGTTCAGACGGGCGGGCGATTGTTTGATTTTTGGTGCATCGTTCGACATCGGTTTTTGATTTTGGTATTTAGATGTAAGATTAAAGAATCGTTTGCGATATCGACACATTTCGATTCATAATTGGCAGTGGTTTCATCGGGCCAGTTTCAAAGATTCAGATTTCAGAGCAGTGGCAGGTGACGAAGCGAGACCCAGACCCAGACCCGGCAGGGGGAGGAGACGCCATTGTGTGCGGGACAGACCAGAGTAGACCAGACCAAGTGGTGCGGGCGGTCAGGTGGTCGGTCGGTCAATCGATTGATCGATTTGGTTGATTATTTTGGTCGGTTTACAAGATTCGATATATTTGGTTTTTCGTGTCGTTTCGTATCGTTTTTTTTTTTTTTTTTTTTTTGGTTACATATGGGTCGTACGTAAGAAGTGGAAGAAGAGAGAGAGAGAGAGAGAAAATTGTTCATTTAGTTAAAAAGGTTAAAAGCGTGTAAATTGTTGGTTTTTTTTTTTTTTAATATTATACAACAAAAAAAGTGGCAATTTTCTTGTTCATTGTCGGTAAATAAAGCGCCTAAATATTATATTTGATTTCAAAACTTAGAGAATTGGTCAGAGGCGAGAGACGTTTAGATCGAGAGAGAAAGTGATAGAGGCAAAAGTGTCTGTTAGCCGAGAGAGAGAGAGAGAGAGAGAGAGAGCGAGACACATAGAGGTAGAGAGTGAGAGTTAGTTAGAAGCGTGTCGTTTAGGTTGAGAGCTTGTTATTAAACAGATCATTAATTGCTTGGTGGTAATAATAACACGCTGAAGGGGAGCTGAGAATAAAAGACGGGAGCTGCAATTGCGGGTCCAGAACGGCATAAGAGACTTGAATTTGGAGTTGGCATTGGAAATATATATATATATATATTATATATACAAAGCCAATAAGAGAGTGTGTGAAAGAGTCAGTGAATAGGAGCGACACACAAAATAAAGACAGAAGTTTGGAGTTTGCTTTTCGGTTGCTTTTTGTCTTGGCGCAAGCGAGCACAGAAATAAATGGTTAATAAATAATACTAGACGCTTCAAATGTTTTCGATACTCTTTCTTTTTTGATGATTGTTGTCGAGTGTTTAAAATAATTAATAGTTAATCTGGTTTTATAGTACCTGAGTGCGCATCTTCTGTATGTGTTGGCCTCCCTTGCCGATGACAGCGCCAGCAATCTGCAATCGAAACAAAAATCATATTAAGCTCTGCTCACGATTTAGTTGCAATTTGCGTACACTCAACAAAAAAAAAATAAATTCGCACTTAGATATAAAAAAAATATATACTCCGTTTCATATTAATTTAATTTAATTTGATTAATTACATTTAATTTGAATAAATTTCCAACGACTCGATTCGGATGCCTTCGTTTGCATTTATACTATTTAGAAATACTTTTTTCAATATAAAAATATTAAATAATAAAAACTTTTTTTTGGGATTGTTAAATTTGGGTTAGTGTTTTAAATTGTAGGAATTTTTGTTTGTCATATTTAGAAATTACTTCTTTCTGTGCGATTCTCAAAATTTTAATTAGATTTTTACTGTGAACCCGTCGGCTGGGTGATGATTTTGTGGGCATACTTACACTGCTCGGTATTAGTATACGGACCATGTCCTCGTTCCGTCTGTTGCGCTTCTGGTCCTGTGGTCCATCGCCGTCATTGCTCTCGCGCTTCATTTTCATTCTCTCTGCAAATGGCAAGAGCATAAGGCAGACACGCGTTTTAATCAGTCAACTCTTGAAACTGGAATATGTTTGCACCAGATTACACATACGCCGAGTGCGCCAGTTCAAAATCAACTGAACCGACGGACGCTTGGTTAAATCAACAAGTCTGAAAAGTTCAACGTACAAATACTGCTTACGCTGTCGCCGACAGCTTGATGCTCTATTTTGACTTTATTATACAGAGTAACTACCTTTTACTCTGCAATATACTTGCCTACATATGTAAATGTGAATGTCTTTGTGACGGCACAAGAACATACTTTAAAGTGTACGTGACTTCAACGCACTTTTACAGACATTTCTCCCACTTACATAACGTGAGCATGCACTTCCTTTTGATCTTGTTCTTGAATTCAAATTGCCTTCTTATATTAATTTAGGTAAATAACACTTTTTTTTACTCTTGAATATTTCAATATTTATTTTACAGTGTACACTTATTTTTGCTCGTGAACAAGAATTGGTTGAATAAAAATGTTACATTTTCTATTTTTTGAAAACACACTTTCGAAATATTTTTATTTTTTCACAAAAAAAACTTATTTGATACTTTTTTTTTTTAGCTCAGCAGAGAAACGAACTGTACGACAAACTTTCGTACAATGAAAATACATTTGCAAATCATTTGGTATTACAAATGTCGATATTAAATGCAGGCATGTATTTTCGATATATAGTTTGTCAATACTAAAAATGAATTAGACATTTCAAAAGAAGATTCTAGAATTCTGTTTATTGTTTAACAACACTGTATCGTAGCAATTTGCAAGTCACACTGCAGCCTGAGCTTGCATGTGACAAACCCGAAGAATTAGCTGTTATACCCTCGGCGTTGTTGATTTATATAAATACAATGTGCCAAATGGCAGCGCATTGTGGGTTGGAATTTGAGTTTGCCAAGCGCAATTAAACAACAATTCAATTTGCCTCACATCGAATTCATTGAAGTTGGAATGATTTGCCGACTGTCTGACTGACTGACTGTTTTTAAGACTGTGTTGGTGTTTCGGAATCGTGCAGCTGCCACCGTTTTAACAAAAGGCGTTCGTCAAGGCACCTGAGAAACTGTGTTTTGATGCATCTACTGTAACAATCGATATATTTAACTAGCTAGCTATATGAGTATATCTAATATTTAGCTGCAACGCCCTATGCCCAACGTAAAGCTGTTCAAGCGGAAATGCCAGTCTGCCAACGCTCAGACGATGTTCTATATATATGATATACATATTTCATATGTATCACATACATCATATATATCAGTGTCTATATTATGTATGCACAATTTAATGCAATTTAGACAACAGAGCGAGCACAAGCAAATGCATTAACAAAATATAACAATTTTCAATTTCATAATTTATGAAATGCTGCCAAATAACTGCCCTATATGCAAGTACATACACAACTATATATATATATATGAATAAATGTGTATATATGTAGATGTAGATGTAACGTTTATATAGCTGACTCAAAATCTGAGCATTTGGCGAGTGCAACAACAATTGAGAGGCTTTATTGAATGCCGCCCACATTCCCACAGATGAGGTGTGTGTTGCTTGTGTTTTGTTTGTTGTCGTTTTTTATTTTCGGTTTTTGGTCTTGTTTCCCTTTCTAGCTGAAGTGCGCACAACTCTCGGCTCAGATGTCAAAACATCAATTGTCCGAGCTGTTAAGTTGTCAAAAATATGTCCGATACAAAGGTAAACAGCAGCTGTCTCTTAAATGGGCTTTGCTCGCAGTTGAGCCGCTAAGCTCTCCTCCACAAATGAGTCAAACAGCAATTACAGTCATACGTACATATGATGTACGTTTCCATATCCAATCGCATTACAAGTGCTAGCATGTGGGCAGCACAGCTTGCTCACCAAAGGGTTACCAGCCCAGCACCTTGAACAGCCGCTCTTGTCGTCTTATCTGAACAGGTCTTGTGTGTACTTATTGACCAGTTGGCTAACTGCTGCAGGCAGTGTGCGCAGCAGACCGTAAACCCAGCTCTCAACACTTACTGCTGCTGCTCACTCGAGTAGTAACTCAAAAACAAATATTATTTGTTCTAGCTATAAGCTAAAAAAGGCTTCATTTGCTTATCAAGGTATATGTACAGTTGTGTTCTCGAAATAAATAAATACACTTGGTCTAATTTCCCTAAGCTTCAGCTGTCGAACTAATCTAGTTTCAGAGATCTGTCTGCCTCTGCTTTCAACACACATATAGACAACTTGACTATAACCATTATAACAATTCTAATAAGTAAATGTACAGTTGTGTTTAGAATATATTAAACATATTGAATGGGTCCATGTATCCAAGAGTCTATCGTCTTAGTGGAAGGAGACCTATTGAGAATCTATATTAAATTATGATCAATTTCTGCCGAGATAACTATGTTATCTTTTACTATTATATTTTATTTTAAGCTATGTAATATTCATAAACTATCAGATTGTTTCTAAGGCAAGAGTGTTGGAACATTTATTTGGGCAAATAAATTAACTAAATCATTTCCAATATTCAATTGCATAAAATTTGTAATTAAGCAGAAGAAAGTTCGACGATTTTGATTATGTCACATGATAAATTAAAGAAATATTCCAAAGTTTTTCAGTAATATATCTTTTGTAAATTACCTTTTTCTCTTCAGACAATATCACAGTTTCGCAATTTCACAATAATTGTTGAACAAATTTACAGCCAATTGGTGTATTCACATTCTTTTCATCACTAAGATTTTTAATTTTTCCACACTAGTTACATAACGTCTGATGATAAGAATTTAGACGGTGGATGGGGACCAGTTGAGAGAAGTAGCAGCAGGTGCTGTCCTGTAGCAAGTGCGGTTGGAAAACTAATGAAAATAATTTCCAGTAATCGAGTTATTTATAGGCAAATCTTCGACACCAGCCAAAAAGGCTGCTGACCAATCAGAACCAAAGATCGGATATGGATAGCTACGGAAACGGAAATCGCTGACCAATAGAAATCGTACAAATGTTCAAATGACAATACCTAAAAAAAAAGGGGAAATATTGTTCAGTTATGGATTCCCGATGCTAAGCAACGCCACTAATTGTCCCTGACTGCGCTGGCCATAACACTAAAGCTAGAAACTAGAAACTAACCGACCCTATACTAACAGATAAGTAAGACAGACAGACAGCTACGACAAAAGCGAGAAAGCATACCAGATATATATGAAGGTATGTACAGGACAGCAGTTGGTCAAAAGTGCATTGCTATATCTATGATTGATAGACCTACACATATGTATATGGGGGTGTTGAATAAGGACAGCCCTATGATATTATGTATAAATATAAATGTATATATTTATATATATATATATATATATATATGTGTATGTGGCATATATAGACAAATTACATATTGGCTCTTATATAGTAATTGGCTTTGGGGCCACCTAATGAAACCAAAGTGCCACCGCAATATAGACTAATAACTGAACTACCTTTTAAGAGGGTATGGGAAAAACTGCAGCTATATGAATTTTAGATCTATGTGACTCTTCAGCTGATATTTTCACATTATGCATTTTTTAAATGCGCTGTCCAAGACAGCAAACGTTTAAGTATTGAATATCGAAGTGGGGGTAGAAAGAGGAGTTTTAATTTGAGGATAAATGCTTGGGAAATGCAACAAATTGCAATTCTGCTGGGTGGTAAGTATCATTACAGAGAAGGAGGCTGACGTGGCCGGCCATCAGCAGTCATTATGATATATCATATATACGAATATAGACATATACCTTGCGAAAATTGTCATAAGGACGCGACTTTGTGCATTATTCATGTAATTAGGGCAATTTGTAGCCCATTTGGGTGATATTGAAGTAACGACTTTGAAGTGCCTTTTGATGCACCACTTGCAACAAACAATCTAAAGGACATTTGCCAGCGGGAGTGGCCGCATTTTTAATTAAGCACTGAGAGTTTCAACAGCCGTTGGCCCCGATACTTTCAAAAAGGGTTAATTGCTTTGACGCAAAGCAAAGCCACAGAGTAACTGTAGCAGCAGCACCATCCCCCATCCCATCCGCCCTTAGTAGCATATTGATTGAAGCAACCGCAGCTTCTTAATCAAATATTTCCCACGGTTAGGCATGGCTTAATGGGGGTGAGTGGAGTTAGCGGAAGTTTAACAATTGATAGAGCTAAGCAAGTGGCCTGAATGTGACATAAATGACAGGTAGCAATTATGTGAAAATCATTTGATTGTCGCACACACACACACCCATACACACGAACCCACACGCACACCAGGACTCACGCATCAACATCCTGTTCAAATAGCTTTTGACATCGCACACGCGCCTAACCAAGACAAGCAAGACAACGCCCACAACCCCTAAGTCACACACACTTACACACTAAACATTAAAAAAAACGTGTTTTAGTAGAGTGTCCGACTCTGAGTTTCTCTGTATTCCACCAAAATTCAAATGAACCCAATATACTTCTCACATCTTTATAAAATGCCATTAGAACATCGATGTTAATCGATATGATGTTGTTAATGTGAGTTGTAGAAACAAATAAATATAATTGGCCTCTTCTCAAATATACTTCCCGAGATCTGAATTAAGAATGTGGGGCCAATTATGTCCCTCTTCGTAATACCTATTATAACAATTTTAATGAGTACAGGGTATAAAGAAAAATAAGTTAACATAAGAGCAGGGTGGGAAGTTGGCAACATTTTTTCATGTGCCCGCATACAACATACACACACACAAACACATGTACACACGCACAGGTGTCTGTGTGTATGCTGACCAAAAAAATGTACGAGCCAGTGGCTGTGGGCAGCAGGCGAGACGAGACGAGCAAAACGAACAACGGGCAATGGGACTCAGCAGGAAACGGTTATGTGCTCGCTCAGAGCATGCTTATTTTATGCAGGACAAAAGCTGGAGCAAACTTTTTTACCGTTGCCGTGTCAGTCCCCTCCACTCTCCTCACCTACATGTGTGCCCCCAGCCAACTTAATTGGACGCTGTCCATAGCTGTTGCTGCGGCTGTAGCGGGGCATATGCGTTCACCAGCCACTCTATAATTTAGCGGAAAAACAGCTAATGGACGCCATGTTCAAAGCGTCCGCCACGCAACAACAATACGACAGAGACTGTGGCTGAGACGAGGGGGGTGCGGTGGGCGGAAATGCCCACAATTGACAATTCTCATCGTCCAACTTTTAGGAGGGAAGGTTGGAAAAAATAAAAACCATAGTAGATAGCCCCTCTCTAGTCTGATTCTCCCCCTCTCTCTCTCTCTCTCTCTCTCTTTCTCTCTCAATGTCTATGTCTTTCGCACTTCAAGGCTCTTATGGACATGTCAGCATGCTTAGCGAACCCACAATGGTGGCGACCAGTTTGGTCATCGCGTGTCTAACCACCCCTACGACCCCCTGACCACCCACCCTACCTACCGCGAGGTCCCTGCGCTAATAACTAATGTCCTTATGGCGTGTGCTGCCCCCGCCCGTGTTTGAGGTACAGTAAAACTTTCGTCCAGTGTCTTGTCTGTGTTTGTCCGTTTTGGCTGTGCTCCGTTAAGCATTCGATTTGAATTATTAAGAGGCTTCGATTGAAAACTAGTTGTCCCCATCCCCCAGCCACCACCACGAGCAACTCCTCCACATCTAACTGCAAAGGAGCAAAAAGCAATACACAAGCATTAGAAATCAGCTATAAATTTATATCCAATTTAGATCCATTCGATGGCTACTGCATCTCGCTGCGTACTAAGCTGATTAAAACTAAATGAACAATTAGCTAACATAAAATGCTAAGCCATTTTTTGTTTTGGATTAATTCAGAAAAGATTTTTGCGAGTCGAATTCTGTATTCTCTTAATTATTAACATAATATAATTGGTAAATATTATTAAACTAAAAATCAATAACGATTGGAAGCAATTTAATGCCTCAGATCCTTATCATAATCGTGACAAATCATTAACCCAGCGCCTAATTTTAGATGCAGAAACTGCTTAGCTAACAATTGAAAACCTTAATTTTATTATTCTTTAATTTCAATTGTAATTTTAATTACTCCCTTTAAAATTATTATTTTTTTAAACCTTTTTGACTACAGTAAATTAAATAAATAATAGGTAAATACTTATTAAAACATAAATTTAGAAGATGAAATTCGTTATGAAGAAGCACAGCAGATATGAAACTTCTGAATGTAACCAAAGTTCTCTTTAGTGTGACATAGATTCAAAGAGAATTTTGAAACAGACTAGAAATCTATTGATAGGTAATATTTATGGATAAATTCCATAAATCCGCAATTCTCTTCCGCGTGTCCATCTTGTTTTACTCAATGAAGAGCTCTTCGCTCAAAAAGAGGGCACAAAAGAATTTATAGGTCGCTATTTACAAAACTGGCTAATCAGACTTGCAAATTCTGTTCGTGCCTAGAGGCTTTTCAGAATATTTGCCTTTTTTATACTTTCACTCAACACACCGGATTTACAAATTGAATAGGTAAACTAACATCTCTCGGGGAACGCTCGTGAATGAATTATGGCTACAAATTGTTTTTGTTATGTAAACTATCTTTTACATTCCCAGCATAAAATAAAAGGCCGCAAGACAAACTGCCATTAATTAAAGAAATATGTTTACATATATTTTTGGGCGAGTGTAATTGCAATTGCTCATAAAAAGATTTTCGCACACAAATTTGCTTGTGTGTCGAGTCATTGCAAGTGACAAAGTGAAGAAGATGACGTTGGCGATGATTGTTGTTTAATAAACGCAAACATATATTTCCATAGAGGTTTGCAACAATACGGGTGTCATGGGAAAACAAGAAACGCTGCAAGGCAGCTCAAGGCTTCGCCTGTCTACTGGAAACGTGTTTTCAACATTTGAGCATTAGCATATAACGACAACAACCACAACAACAACAACAACGATAGCATAAATACTGCTTGCTTGGTGCCATTCAATAAGACAAAAGCTATCAAAATACTTGAACGAAACATGTTTTGCAGGGGGTGGCTGACGGAGCAGAGCTAAGCGAAAAGAGGAATGATGATAATAAGTAGCACACAAAACGAGAAAGGAAATTAACGATTGTTAAGAGTTGTCGTGACGTCACATTAGCAAATCAATCTCCGCAGATGAGCTTTCCAGTGAGGCTGTTTGCCACAACAATTGACCCGCATTTGAAACACACATAGCATTCAAGACTTGCAAATGCGGGCCACATATGATATTTTCAAAATGTTTATATTTATATATTTTCGTTTTCACATAGTTATGCATAAGTTGATATACACAAATGTGAGCCACTGACAGATTCAGTGTGCAGTTGTTGGGCCTATGGGGAAATCAGGAAACGAAACTCGGCATTTAGGCAGAGAGGGAGCTGAGAGTAATGTTGTTGCTGCTAGTTTGCCAAATGGTAAAAAAAGAATAACAAAAACACAACAGAAATACAAAATAAGTTAAGCTGATTGCATTTGCAGCAGTTGGAAAAAGTGCATGAATATTCCATGATATGGCCTGCACAAACATCATGAATAAATAAGCCAAACTTTTGTATAAAGTCAACTAAAGACCAGCAAATAGCAAGCAAGAAAGAATAAAAAGGCTTGTCATTTCGGTTGTAGGCTGGCTGTATGTTATGAGTAAATAGGCCGAAAACAAACACCCCCATAAGAGAAATTCAATTTAATCAAAAATCGAATCAACTTTTTGTTGCTTAACATATTTTTTGGTCAACGAATTTGAAACGTGTTTTTATTCGACTTGTTGACTGAAAAGTACAACAACAAATACATTTTCGACATGTTTTCAATTTATATGTGTTAACAACAAGAACGAATAGCAACAGTAAAAATCTCAAATAATAGAAGAAAATTACAAGTGAATCACATTATTCTCATGCAAACAAAAAAATCTATTCGGCCAATAAAATACAAATTGATTAGCAAGAAAACAGCAACAAAAAGATTCCGCTCAATGTCAATGAACGCGACAAACACACACAAAAGCAAGCGGCCTATAGACAGAAAGAACACGGGAGAATGAACGAGAGAGCCACAAATAGAGATTTGGAGATATGGTATATAAAACAGAGAGAGAGAGAGAGAGAGAGAGAGAGCATCTAAGTGTTTTGTGCACTTGGCGTAGATTGCCTCATTGCCAAAAAATGCAAAAGGAACACAAACACACACGTACACAAACACGCACACACTCACACACACAGTCACATACACATGCCGAAAATCAACAACTAAACACGCTATACAAATTAGCAATGTCGAAGCTTTAGCATCCCAAAAAGCCCCGCCCCTCCACATCACCAAACTTGGTAAATAAAAGTGAGCGCTAAACTGGAATTTGCAGGAACAAAAGCAAAAGTCAATTTTGTTGAAGAGTTCGTTACCAGCTCTGCTGTAGCTTGGTTGGTTGGCAGCTTTAAGCAAAATTCCAATAAGCCAAGATGGCAACGAAGCGTCTTCAAAAAGGTGTCAAACTCATTCGTCTTGTTTGCTCTGTGTGAGGAATTCATCATACTCGGCACAATGTGGTTTTGCTGGCGATTACAATGGGCTTTTTTATTAACTGGAAACATTTTAAGGCCAACAAGTTCTCAGGCAACCAAAATTTTTTTTGTTTTTGCTTCAGACGATGTTTGTCTTGACTGCTTTTAAAGAATGCTAAATCATTTTATTTACGGTCAAGAGAGTTTTCTATATTATAATTATTTGAGAATTAGAACAACTTTCGTAAATTGGAATTATTTGTGGAAAAAATGTGATGCAATCTACTGTGGAAACTAATTTTGTTGAATTTTATTATGATTGACATATGAATACCATTAAAACTTTAATTACTGACTATCAAGTTTTCTATGTAAAGTGCAGGTGCATAAGAGGAATACTTTCAAAGGTTCAGATAACAGTTCACAGCAAGTCAAGTGTTGGGAATTGAAATTTAATGATTTTCTACTTTTCTACTTTTCATTTCATTCTCTTAAGTGATGTAGTTGACAGCACTTCTACTGATGCTGCACAAATAACGGCAAATAGTATGCATAAAATATAGGTTAGACTGTTGTTTGTCGTTTTTGCCATATTTGTCGGAGCACGTTGAACTCGGCGTTGTTGTGGCTTAGCCAAGCGTGGGAGTTACTATTTCGGGTAAACATTTTGTTTTTATTTTATCTTGATTTTTTAACAACAAAGCCGACATCAACAAAACTAAATTACACTATAATGAAGTTTTTCACATCTCACTGCGTGCATGTGTGTGTGTGCCGGCACACGCGCTAGCTGTGAAGCGGTTGTTGTAGGGCGGCTAAAAGGCGCGGGGGAAAGAAGAAACCAAAACAGACTAAAAGAGCAGAGAGACAACAAAAACAGCAACAACAACAACAACAGTAATTACTAAACGCGGAAAGAAGCCGGTGCGCGCCAGATTGGCTGCGACACGTGAGTGCGAGCGAGAGGGCATGTAACGGAACCAAAAATACGAAGCAAAACCGACGCTTTAGAATTTTTGTTCCAAGCACTTTTTGGCATGGTGGTTGTAAGTGTATGCGTGTGTGTGTCTGAATGGGAAAGCCAACAAGAAGCAAGAAACACTGGGAACAGACAACACAAGGGCTGCAATTGGCAATGTGCCTGCAAAGAAACTTGGAGCGAGCGCAGTGAAAAGCCAATATACAAAATTCACACAGCGACGAATATTGGCAATATAATACGCACACGCACACACACACACACGCACTGCAAATGTAATGCGAAAATTGTGTTATTGCAATTTCTTTGTCACAAGTTCGTTATGGTTGATTGTTTTTTTCTTTCCCTTTTTTTCTCTATCCATCGCGCGTCGCTTTCCAACTTACCCTCACTCGCTTCCCTCGTTTGACGCTTTGGCTCTGTCGTTTTGCAAACACTATCTTAACAGCTACCAAATAGTCTGGGTGATAAATTTCACCAAATTATCTATATACAATCACACAAAACACGAGCAATTAATAACCGAGAGTTAAAATGACTGTACGTCTTTCGAGTACTTATTTTTGCATTTTTTGTACAAACTGGTGGTGGTCGACTATCGATAAGCTGCCAATTACTGAAATCGTTAACAGTGCTAAACTAGCAAGTTGGCATGCCACTGCTCAATAACATATTTGCTCCACATTGAACGAAGCGACTCCACATATAACGAAATCCTAGATAATGTTGCATACTCCCAAGCGCTGCAAAAACTCGATTATTATTTGGCGTGCTCAAAAGTATGCAACACTTGAGCGTTGCTCGCTTGCATCAGGTGTTTTTACGAGCAACGAGTGAGCAGCTGTTGAGAGCGCAGAGTGACCAATTAATGGTGATTAGGTGTCGTTTAGCACATTTCTATATGAAACGCGTTATTCTAACAGTAGCCAAATTAAACAACAAAGAAGACGAAATATTCATTAATACCTATATACTCGATATACTTGGAGCACAGCACAGTGATATAAAAATAAGCAAACACTTGACCTTGGGGCCTGCTGCGTCATGGCAAGCCCAAATATCAACTATCGCTCCCTCGCCGAGGAGACTGCGAATCCATTTCGCGACGCACAAACACCAGCAACAACAACAACAGCAGCGAAAACAACAATAACAAAATCGGACGACGCAAAATTATTTACAGCTGCTGCGCATTTAAATGATGATGTTGTTGGCCATGACGAGGAGCACTTGGTGCTGGAGCACGAGAACGAGGACACGCCACGGGACATGATGATCCACATTGTGCCGGAGATGGGCAAGGAATCGCATCGCTGGAATCACATCGAGGATCTCGATTCGTTCTTCTCCCGCATGTACAACTATCAGCAGAAGCATGGATTTCGCGTCATCGTTTTGGACGAGGTGTTTCAGGTGCTGGAATTTGGGTTTGTTGTCTGGCTGCTCACCTTTGTGACGCACTGCATCCGGCACGATGTGCTCTTTGGCAATGTGTCGCCGGAGCACAATTCGAATCGAACGAAAACAACGATCAGCGATGTGATTATCCCTCGGGGCGAATGCATCAAAAGTTTCGGCATCTTCACCTACCTGATCATCTTCTTGGCGGCCATCTATTTGGGCATACGTCTGCTGAAGATGATCTATCACATTACACAGTATGCGGACATTAGGCGCTTCTACAATCAGGCGTTGCGCATCGAGGACAGCGATCTGGACAACATCACCTGGCACGATGTCCAGCAGCGGACAAGGAAAGTGCAGGCGGAGCAGCATATGTGCATTGACAAGGAGCTGCTCACCGAACTGGACATCTACCATCGGGTGCTCCGCTTCAAGAACTATCTCGTGGCTCTCATGAACAAACAGCTGCTCCCAGTGCGCTTCCATCTGCCCCTGATTGGCGAGGTCGTCTCCCTCAGCCGTGGCATGTTGTTCAACATTGATTTCATACTCTTTCGGGGACCGGGCTCACCGTTCCAGAACAATTGGCAGCTGCGCGACGAGTTCGCCGTGCGCAGCAATCAAACGGAACTCGCCCAGCGCCTGTCCAAGCTGATATTGGGCGTGGCACTGGTGAATCTGCTGCTGGCGCCAGTCATCTTTCTGTGGCAGCTGATCTACTTTAGTTTCTCCTACGCGAACATTTTGCGCAAGGAGCCAAGTGCCTTGGGGCTGCGCACCTGGTCCAACTATGGACGTCTCTATTTGCGCCATTTCAATGAGCTCGACCACGAGCTAGATGCCCGACTGAATCGTGCCTACGAGTATGCGGATCGCTATCTGAGTTCCTTCTCCTCACCGCTGGCGGCGGTAATTGCCCGCAATTTCCTGTTCGTCAGTGGTGGTGTACTGCTCCTAATCCTGGCATTTGGCATCTATGACGAGCATGTCTTCCAAGTGGAGCATGTGCTGACCATCATTGCGGTGCTGACCGTTATCGGCGTCATCTGTCGCACCCTCATCCCCGACGAGAACCTCATTTGGTGTCCCGAGCAACTAATGACCGCCATTCTTGCCCACGTCCACTATCTGCCGACAGAGTGGAAGCAACAGGCGCACACCGCCCATGTCCGCAACGAGTTCGGCAATTTCTTCCAATTCAAGGCGGGCTATTTGCTCAGCGAGATCTTTAGCCCCTTTGTCACACCCTTTGTGCTCATCTTTGTCTTCCGGCCCAAGGCCATGGAGATTGTCAAGTTCTTCCGCAGCTTCACTGGTAAGTTACGAATCTAGAATTATAATCTCGAATTGACATTTTCCTTAGAATCAAAGATCATTCACATATTATTAGATTGCATCTAAAATTATTGTTTTAAGCATTTCCTTTTGCTTCCCTTAAATTATAGTATTAAATTATATATTATTCTATAAAATTGATATTCTGATTTTAGTCAAGTTTTCTCAAATTGTTTCCTCTTTTCAATAATTGTTGTACATAAAAATTGTTCACAGATTATTAGAGCCACTTTTGATTGAATCGAATATAATTGTTTTTAAGATTTGCTTTTGTTTCAATTAAATTATTGTATTTCGTAGTATAAATCATCTGATTTATAATTTAGTATAAAATCTAAATTTTTCTTAAGTTTCTCTCCTGTTTTTAAAGACTTTCATCATAACTCAAGAAATCCAAGTAATTCTTTATTGAAATTCAAATAATAGTTTTTAAAATAAGTTAATTTTTGTTTCTTCTGCTTTTAAGCACTTCATCCATTCAACACCATTTTAAAATCGTCAGTTTAATTCATTAAATAAAGTAATAAGATAATAGAGACTTTAAAATGAAGTTATAAATTAATTTTTTCCTATTTATTTTAATCATTTTCATCATAATTAATTAATTAATTAATTCAGAAGGAGAAATATTAATTGAAAATTTGTTTTATTTTAGTATCTGTGCGTGGCGTTGGCAATGTGTGCTCCTTTGCCCAAATGGATGTGCGCAAACATGGCAATCCGGACTGGCAGATCACCAATAGTGGCTTCATGGATGTGCCAGGCTTGATACCCGAGCAACAGCCTCAGCAGCAGCAGCAGCAGCAGCCAGGATATCAGCAGACGCAGCAGAGCATGGTTGGCGGCAAGACGGAAATGTCGCTGGTGCGTTTCACGCTTAATAATCCCGAGTGGCAGATGCCAAAGGAGGCTTCACAGTTCATCAAGGGCATACGAGAGCATGCCATCGATGAGCTGGTCAAGGCGAAGACCGCGCCACAGGCGGCTGCACGCGACAATCCGCTCACGCACAGCCTGATCTCATTCGGCAACATTGGCGAGGAGTATTGCTCCATTGCCAATTCGGTGCTCGCCGCCGAACTGAGTCCCGAGCAGCTGCAGCTCTCCCAATCGATGGCAGCAAGTCGTAGCGGCAATCCAGATGTCTCTGGTGCCGCTGCTGGCGTCGGCAGCGATTTCCGGCATATGCTGCAGCAGAATCTGGGCGAGCCGATGAGCAGCACCAGCTTTCGGCGCATGTCCAGCAGCATGGGTCCGGCGGACAGCATGCGCCGACTGCGCCTCAGCAAGGCCGAGGGTCGTATTGAGGGGCCAGCGGACACACTGCTCTATAGTCTGTATGGGGTGGAGCCGCGTCTCGCCAAGAATCCGATTGGCGTCACCGTCGCCGATATGTGCCTTAGTGCCCTCTACCTGCACGAGCTGAGCCAGCAGAAGCGAATGGCGCGCCAGTCGCGCATCGATGAGGCCGAGGAGCTGCCCGGTCCGAGCAATAGGCCGCCACGCCCACATGACCCCGCTGGATCTAGAATGGGGTCTGGAACTGGATCTGGAACTGGTTCTGGATCTGGATCGATGTCTGGGTCGCGCCATACCGTGATTACCTCAAAGGCTGCCGAGAGCACGCCGCTGCTGGGCAACATACGTTCATAGCAGCGACCCGTTTGGATCTAATAATCCTAGAGCTTAAGGACAACAAAAACAAAAACAACAACAACAAGAAGAAGAAAAACAAGTAGATGATGAAGAAGAAAAACAACAAATTATTTACATATTAACTACAACTCTGCTATTAGTTTTTAAGTTGTAAAGTGTGTGTTTGTGTGAATCAGACGACGATGTCTAGTTATATCTAGCTATATCTAATACGAAAAGCAATAAATCAACTGCGTCAACGAATCAACTTTTTTCGCATCTCGCATTGTGTAGTTTGTAATGCCCCAAGCAATGCACATGGCCATAAGATCTTCAAGACAGAAGAGTATTTCATAAATGGCAGCTCATTAAAGGAAAGGAGCAGTAAGAGATGTAGAAAGGGAGTTCACAAAGAGTGCTAAGGAAAGTAAGAGGAAATGATGAGAACACAAATGAAATATCTTCTATTATATTACTAAGCATTAACACAATAATTAAAATGTTTCTTAGCCATTTCATATCCTTGTTGACCGAATTCTGGTTGGAAGTTTGAAAATTATTTTAATTATGAATATTTGCCTAAGACAGTCTTGATTTTTCTGTTCTTTCTTTCCGATTGTGTCTATGCCAGCTATTTGATATAGTGACCCGATCCGGTCATCTCCGAAATATGTACTGCCTTCAGCAAAAATCTAGGATCAATTATTATATGGACTAATTATGAATTACTATATATGATTATAAAACAGAAAAGGATTGGTTAATATTGGGGGCTTCGTGCAACCAAGTTAGATCTCTTCCTCAATTTGAGCCTATAAATCCTCCATCAATCATCATCTGTCTGCCGACAGCTGAGCTTAAGACATGTTTCCATCGAATACTGCAATCAAAGTGCATCAAAATATTTCAAGCTGTGTAAAAAGTATTTATAGTTTTAGATGATTTATTTTTTCTTTTCTCAATTACTGCCCAATTTATTTATTTATTTATACAACACTCGGGCTGCAGACGATCCATTTATAAGCTGTTTTAAAAAGTCACCAAGAATATTTGTAAGTACGAAATTTATAGGTTTTTTAGTGTCGGATGATTTATTTGTTCATCAATCTTCAGGCCTCCATTCCCAGGCATTTTAGGCACACCACTAAGTTGTGCCAGTTTTCGAAGAGTGGGCAGAGAGGGTGCAGCCTGAGGGGTGGGGAGGGGGGCGTGATTGGAGTCGGCACATCCAGCTGTGCGGCAGCGCCTCGTGTGTCAATGGCCACACACGAGCGCCATTTGGCGATGGGTGTTGATGGTATATGCAAGAGTTGCTGAGATGCCGCAGAAAAAGTAGCCGAGCTACAGTTGCCAGTCGCCAGTTGCCCGTTGCCCGTTGCCAGGTTGGCGGCCAGGTGCCAGGTGCGTGCATTTATGCATCTCCAGTTATTAGCTCCCAGCTGCAGTGCAGCAAACGCATGCAATCTCAATGGGGAATGGGAAATGGTTAGCTTATGAATTATGAGCGTGTCGTGTGAGATTGAGTTGGAGTTCGAGCTGAGGACGGAGCCCGGCGAAACAGAACACGTTGTCTCATTTTTACGCTGCACGCCACTTTTGGGTTCCATTGCTAAACATTAACTAGCGGCCATTTGTTAGAGATGCCCGTTTTGGGGCGCTATCTGAAAGCCATCTGCCACGCAGCAAAAAAAAAAAATGATAGAGCGGAGCAGAGCAGAGGGAGACAGACTCCAGTTACCAGCGTAGTTGCATGTTGTACTAATTGTAGCGCTCATGTAGCCAGTCATGTTATCCGATCCGGCATTGGGCCTAGGTACATGACGACACTCCACTGTGGACTCAAGAGTCGAGACTCCGTTTGCTGGTTCTGGCCAAATGTGAACGGCTTTTGCCTTCCATAAATGCCATAAATGCCAGATGCAGTTGAAAAGCGCGTCTGTCGCCAAAATGGTTATAGTACAGTCGAACTTCTCTAAATCAAACTTCTCAACACACACAAATTCAATCCAAATTGAGTCGTAATTGCGTATTGCGTTCAAAAATTCTCTGCAATTTTGTTTGCATAACTCAAACCAAAAATTTGCCTCGCTTAATTCACAAATCGAATTTTTAGCTCGTTCAACGTTGAATGAATTTGGTGTTTTTTTGTTTTTTGTTTTGGTTTTGGTTAAAGTATTTGTTGTTCACAAAGGAAATCATTTTTCGATTCGTTCTTGAATAAAAATAATTTACTGTTAATGATCATTACAATACTTATTAAATTTATAATAAATGCCCAATTTCCAATTAAGCTTAATTTTATATTCCAGTTTAACTCAATAGTTCTTAATGAATTATTGCATTCAGCCCAACTTATGACGAAACAGTTTCGCATAATTATTTAATAATAATAGTTGTTCTCTGATTTGGAGTCTAGCAGGTATATTGGCATAGTAATCCGAACCCGTCGACTGCGGCGACTATGTAGATAATGTTAATTTGCTCGATTTTTTCCATTTGTTTACGCATTTTTTTTTTGTTTGTGACTGCTTGGAGAAGTTCGACTGTACCACGATTTGCACGAACCTTGTCAAACAATCGGTTTTAATTTATGATTTCCTGCGGCAATTGGACACACTGACACCGAATGCTGCCGGCTGCCAAAAGTCAAGAAACAAATTCACAACGAGTAATGACACTGCATGTGGCTATGGCCCAGAGATCATATGATCGATATGCACAGCAGGGCCCAAAAGAGTTGTCGAGAATTGGAAAGGGGACGCCTTGCATACATCTATATATACAAATAGATATATATATATATACATATACTTCTGTATATATAGATAGAGAACGTATTGACAGCCGGGACCCACCGCGTGGTTGGTTAACCAGTTCAAGATCAGGCGTCACTTTACCCAATGCTGACAGTCGCCACTAGGAGTCATAGAGTAGCCCCATATCCAGATCTATTGCAGCGGCAGCAGCTGCCATTCTGCAATTAGAGTAGCTATCCTCAGTTGGGGCACATCGGCGCGTTTCAAACGTGTCTGTATGTCCAGGCCAGGCCAGGCCAGGCCAGGCGAGGCCAGGCAGCTGGCAGCGACTAATGATGATAGTCACACAGTGCTCGAAGATCTGCAGGTCTCCTTGTCGAGTGTGAAGCATCTGCGTCGCATTTGATTGACAACTGATCAGCGAACGTGCAACGTGCAACCTGCAACGCGAAACGTGCAACGTGCCGACTGTCACTCTTTTGCCTGGGCTCATTTGGCACACAGACCGTTGGCCTCTTTTAGCCACGTACGCCACTTGATAAGCTATCGACAGAGATTATTTTTATATACCCTATTATCATACAAATTTATTCCATAGGGTATCATTAAGTTGTGAAGATCATATCATTATGCAGCAGAAAATATTTATGACTTCATATTTTTTGGATTAGCACTAAATCGATTTAGCCGATAATATTTAATGGCTATAGTTTTCTGAATATATTGTTCAAGTATTTAAATAGTCAAATCGCACCTCAAAACTCTTTGAAGCATAACAAAAAAACACAAAATTATTCTTTGTGTGAAAAATCACTACGAATCTGAAGTCTGTGTACAGGGTATATTTTAGTCTCTCACTCACAACTGGAGCAGTTCATATTTTTTATTTTTTTGGTTTGTCATATATTTCTTATAATTAAAAAACCCGTTCTTGCCACACAGCCGCAACAAATAGGCCTCTCATATGCGTTGAGATAGTTTAGTCAAATTGGAGCCGCTTCCCGATCCGTTGCAGATACCAGAATATCTCCTCCTGCTCCCAGTGCGCTCAGATCGTTTCTGGCTGCATTTGCATTGCAAATTAGAAACGGCAGCTAGACCCGATTTTCCCATTGCCCCATTTCCCCATTCCCCCTGATACCACTCGGGTTGTAATCGAGCGTCGATTCAATAAAACATTTAAACATTAAACTGCTTTTATGCAAATTGCCAGCGTGCGCTTAATTTTCCAATCCAGCCAGAGAGCTAGATTTTATACTGGCTCAAACACAAACACAATCGCAATTCCAAACCGAAACCCAAACCCAGTGCCAAGACATCAGACCCCAACGGGCATCCGGCAAGAGATTCGCTTAAATTATCTTCAGATCGCATGCATGTAACACCTAACCAGCAAATTTCCATTCCCATTCCTATTCCCAGCACCTGTCCCCTTGGCTGTTGGGTGATAACATCTAGAGTGGATCTTCTACAATTTTTTACTTAACTGTTTGCTGCCTCGTTCCACTCTCCCACTCTCCCACTCCACCACTCCACCACCCCACCACTCTGCATCTCTCCTATTATCCCACTCTCCCAATCTCTTCCTCTCTCTTAATGGCAGTGGCTGCATTGCTAATCAATAGCTTATCGCTATTAATCTCGGGCTTCGATTTACCTTTGGCAGCAACTTTGCTACTCGTTTTGTAGTGGACAGCCAGAGAACGGAGCAACGGAGCCAAAAGATGCTTCCCCGTCTGCTGCTGCTGGCCTGGTCAATTCATTAAACATCCAATTGCTGTCGCCTGTTTGTAAATGTTTGCTGCTTAAAATCTCTTACACGGCCATTAACTTAATTGGCAGCGTGGGTCAATTTAACTGATTCGTTTGGGTCAACTTCTTAAGAGCCAGATTGCAAGCAAGGAATTTCACTAAAGTGCAGGCTTTTAAGTAAAGTGCATCAGATGTCAATAATGGTTATTAGGTATTAAAAAGAATACAGCCAATGAATTATATATATTACAAAATAGGTTCTTCTGATTTTTGAGCCCTCACAAATTATCAACTTGTTAGCAACTTACTTTAGTTTCTACAGAGCTACATGATTACTTTCTAAAATATGCTTATCATCATTTAAATATGGATATATATTCCCTTAAATATTCTCAATAAATTGCCGATTGCTGGAAAAAAGTAATGTTTTCTTAACAGTCAGTCAAATTGCACTAAAGATATATTTAACACTCTTTTTTGCATATATATTTTCTGTAGGAACATTCCATGAAGTACTTGCCAAGGTTGAATATTTTATATTTCAGAAACGAAACCAGCAAAGCCCATTAAAGTCCTCATATTGAATCAGAATTCTGTATTTCTTCAGTAGAACTAACATTATTAATCATAACATAAAGGTCAATCAAAAATTCTCTAACAAACTAAATTTAATATTCTATTCCAATTTATTATTTCCTTAAGATAAATAAACTTTGCATTCCTTTACTTTTTTCTCTGCTCCCATTTGACTAAAAT